GGCAGCCACGATGAATGGGGGGAGGACAGGGAGGTGCGCGTACTACAATGGCCGTGCTATACTAGCTTACGCTACGGCGCCCGAGAAGACACTAGGGTTCGCAGTTCACGTGGGGCCCAGTACTGCTTTTGACTATTATGCAGCAGGAACCTAGTCCACGCGTCCGTGAGGACAAGTACTGCCCACTGAAGTGCAGGTACTGAAGAGTTCGTTCCCTGAGTGGTGGCGATGTATGTACGCTATCTACGTATCGTACGTATCGTAGAGTATCGTAGGGGTGCGCACCACCCGACCTGTGGGAAAGGAAAGTGAATATAGGGAGTCCCGAGGGGACGCCGGCAGCTTGGGGAGTTTCGACCTAATGTCACAACTTGAGGTCAAGCGACTAGAGAAAACTTGAAGGCTGGGGGTGTCCGACTAAGTCTCACCAAAGCGATGGTGAGCTATGCTCAAACCTAAGGCTAGGGACAAGTAATATATTAGTTAGTTAAGGAAGAAAGGAAATGCAAGTGAGGGCTTACTGACCTAGGGACAAGAGGTCGAAACTGAGGTCCCTAGGGCAGCAGAGGCCGGCTTATATACAGGGGTAGATAAGGGCAGGCTGTGCGCGTTGGTCCGTGCGCAGCTGGTCCGTGCACAGCATGCCGACGTGGCCCCGGGGGCCGGTGAGTCAGGGCGGCTGTGTCAGCGGAGCCCGAGCTGTGCCGTGCGCTGCTGCCCCATCTAATCTTATCGTACAGTAGATAACGACGTGTCCGTATCAGGCAAGTAGTACAGAGGTCGCGGGTTCGAGCCCGCGGAAAGGAAAAAATTAAAAAACGGCTAGACGCCGTGCCAACTCGTGACAGACGTGGCCCCAAGGGCCGGTGAGTCAGAAAGGCTGTGTCAGCAGAGCCCAAGCTGTGCCGCACACTGCCGCCCCATCTAATCTAATTGTGCAGTAGATATGATGTGTCCGTATCAGGCAAGTAGTACATAGGTTGCGGGTTCAAGCCCACAAAAAGGAAAAAATTAAAAAATGGCTAGACGCTGTACCAACTCGTGACACCAAGTTTGTGAGGTCATTCCTAACTGTGCAGGTTTGCATGTTTCAACACCATGATGAACCTTACTCGAAATGTAGACACCATGGCCTATTGAGTTATCAGAACTTACAATAGATCATAAAGCAGACAGTAGGACCATTCAAAATTGCCGCTTAAATCTTGCTGGAAAACAAGTGACTTCTCACTGCTTTTGATCGCTCAAATATGGCTGAAGGTTGCTGAAAGGTTGCTGAAAGGTTGCTGAAAGCATCACAGATGACTAAGCATGATGCAGCCATGATTTGATCACATTCTCGGCTCGTGAAGGGCTGACCAGCCAATCAGGTTGGCGAATCATGCAAGCGTCACATGGCCGTAAGCCAGAATCTGCGAGCACTTGCGACGAGCAGTCGCTTATTTGTCGCTTATTCTCGAGGGGAGCTCAGATTCTGCTCACTGCTTTTGGCTGCTTAAACATCGCTTATTTTCCAGCGAGATTTAAGCGGCAATTTTGAACAGTCCTATTAGCACGGATTCTACAGAATCAGTAAAACCAGCGGAAGTTCGTTGGGTTCCATATCTCAACAGCTATATTCACTGGTTACTTCATCAACACATCGCATGAACATCTGCTCTTGCAGAAGCTTCAGGCCAAGAATATGAGCACAACAAATTTGTAGCTGCGGATTTAGAAACATAGTAATATGGCAAACATTCCCACCCAAGCCATGCGCCCTGGTCGGAATTTCATCTTATGAACTTCGAGGTTGGCTATTTTTGTTATCATGTTATCATAGACTTCAATCTGACGGTGGCATCTATACGGAAGTCTCAATCAGACTCGGAGCAGGCAAGCCGCAGAATCATTACAAAACCCCAAATCACTCCTTCAGCACGGGCAGGGTCTATAAAGGATACTGTTCTTGAATACTACATACTAAAGATAGATCTGCGAGCCCGGGGACTTAACCCCTGGCCATATCTCTGCATCTTTGAAATTCAGTCCTTCATTTCCATAATACTGAACAGAGCATGCCATGGTGGCGTCGACCTTCTGACAGACGGCTCCATGCAGGTCCTTTCGGGCGCTAACCATATGCTTACTGTCGCACAGTGACTGTGTATACCAGCTTCATGTGCCAATTTGGCTGCCTTGTCCCAGATATCACGCTACGGGCCATGAAGTTCGAAACCCTTCCCAGAGGCCTGCCAGATGAACTTGTGCACGAGGCACTGAAACACTCATTTCCAGTGCGTGAGGTCCCTTGCCATGGCATACAGCGTCGGCGGTCTATACCCCCATCCCCACTTGCGAAAACGCGAACGGGCACAGCGCATATAAGAAGCCTGCTCGAACAGCAGAGGCGGACAGTTCCACCTCAACCTTGCCCCAACCTACCACCGGTCACCTCGCATAATGCATATCAAATACATCGTCCTCGTTGCAGCTGCCTTTGCTGCACTCGTTGCCGCACATCCTGTTCCAGATGGTACGCATCATCTCACATTGCCGAATATAAACAATGACTCTGACCATCCATGCCTGGCATAGACATAGGTGAGCAGTTGTGCCAGCGTACCGGCGCACACGGCCTGAGGGCGACACGCGCGCACGTCAGCCGCGACTCCAGATTCGATGTGCAGTAGTCCTCCCCTTCAGAAGTGCATCACAGAATATCAATCGTCTCCTCCGGCATAGTCGATGACGCAGGTTTCCAAAGACCTCCATGGATTTACCGTCTGTGAGCGTTGCTCCAATGTTGCCGTCGATTTCTGATTGTGACCTGTAGTCTAAGCACTTGCCGAGGCATGGCATGAATGGCCTTCTGAACCATGCGTCTCGGTCGCAGACGAGAGATGCGTGTATACAGAAAATCAATCAATATGCGAGCTGTGAAATAACGCTCGATCCGCAAAAGTGCACGACATGTGACTGCGCCGTGTCAGTAAGCCTTGGAGTAACTTGCATTGCAACGAGCCGTCGGTCTTCAATCATGATGTATTCTGAGACCTTGCTTTCCACTACCAGTAATATTCGGAGAGATCGAACGCAACGGTGTGCGACCTGAAAGACATTTACCATTTACCCATCGTCCGGTTCATGAGATCACTTACAACATCCGTTGATGGGACCCTGTTGAACTGCCAATACAATGTAAGGGTGAGGCAGTGAGCGAGACTTTCGAAGGAAGGCTTCTTCTGACTTTCTATACAGTCATTGTCCCATCAATTATTAGTGCTGCCAATCCACTACCAATCGCAGTCGACAGCAGTATCAAATTGCATCTGAGAATCACCTGTTATCTGGCTATATGCAAAACACATTATAGGTCACCAGCAGCCAACCCCGTCTCCACGATAAATACTCACAATGGATCGATCAATAACAGCAGAACGGCGGCTCGCAATCAGTGGGGACGGGGCACGCTATATCCGCGGTCAGAGCTGAATGTAAAGCTCGTCACTTCCAGAATACTGCGGAGACACCGCTATGAGTTGTCACAAGGAACCACAGCATTCGCTGCATCAGGCGCACACGGTCAGCGGAAATGCGCTCTCCACACATTATGAGGCACTCACTGTCTGGCGAAGGAGACGCCGCTACGCCGATGATGGCTGAGAAGGCCATGAGGACGAGGACGATGACGACGTGCTTGAAGAGCATCTTGCGGAGCGAGGTAAAAGGCAAGGTACGGACAAAGTTGACACCCGGGCGACCGAGCGTGCTTTCATACCCTGTGCACATGCGCGCAGGCTCTCATGATGATACTTTGGTGTGCACCTAGTCTCCGCCGACGCCACCACATAACGAGTGAATTCGATGTGCCGAGTATCGACATGCAGTGTCTTCCGTCATTACAAAGCCCCAAATCAGTCTTTCAACGCGGGCAGGCCGCACCTGAAGCTATGGAGGACACTAGTCTTGAAGACCACATTGTAAAAATAGACCTGCGAGCCGGACTTTACCCTTGTCCATATCTCTGCATCTTTGAAATTCAGTCGTTAATTTCCATAATACTGAACAGAGCATGTCATTGTGGCGTCGACCTTCTGACAGATGGCTCCATGCAGGTCATTTGCGGCGCGAACCATGTGCTCGATGTTGCACGGTGACGCTTAATACTAACATAATGTGCCGATGTGGCTGCCTTGTGCCAGACACCATGCTACGGGCCATGAAATTCGAAACACGAGGCACTGGAACACCCGTTTCTAGTGCGTGAAGTTCCCTGCCATGGTATACAGCGTCGGCGGTCTATACATCCCCACCTGCGAAAACGCGAACGGGCACAGCGCATATAAGAGGCCTAGAGGCGGACAGTTGCACCTCAACCTTGCCCCAACCTACCTCCGACCACCTCGCATAATGCATATCAAGTACATCGTCCTCATTGCAGCTGCCTTAGTTGCCTCTGTTGCCGCATATCCTGTTCCGGATGGTACGCGTCATCTTACATTGCCGAGTATAAGCAATGACTCTGACCATCCATGCCCGGCATAGACATAGGTGAGCAGTTGTGCTAGCGTACCGGCGCACACGATCTGAGGGCAACATACGCACACGCCAGTCCCAACTCCGGACGCAGTGTGCAATGATCGTCCCGATTGGGAGTGCAGCACAGCATAGTCGATGACGCAGGTTTCCAAGGAACTTTCACGCGTTTACCGTCGGTGAGCGTTGTTCCGATGTTGCCGCAGATTTCTGATTGTGACCTGCAGCCACGGCACTTGCCGCGGCATGGCATGAATGGCTGAATGGAATGCGTCTCGGTCGTGGACGAGAGATACGTGTATACAGAAAATCAATCAATATGCGAGCTGTGAAATGACACTCAATCCGCTTAAGCTGCACGACATGTCACCGTGCCGTATCAGTAGGCCTTTGGCGCAACTTGCATCGCAACGCCACGCACTATGGGCTTTCAATGATGCGTTTCGGCGCCTCGCTTTCCACTGCTAGTCATCTTCGGAGAGATCGAAAGCATAGTCCAGATGCGAACAAGATGTCGCATTCAACATTATTTGTGCAAACATATACAGTAGTCCCCGCAATCCTGTACGCTATGACCTAACGAGGGTATGGGTGCCGGCCGTCCCACGGTCTACACGCCCGTCAATGGCTCCCGTAGCGGACCTTCCGCCCAAAGTCGAACGGAATGTACTTGTACTTGATCATGTGTCTGTCAAGAGCAGGGCAGTGAGCCGGCCATTGCAGAGAAAGCAGGCGCAGAGGAAGACGGTGCAGAGCGAGCGCCGCGACGCACTGTATTTGCCGGCGCATCGTGAGCGCAAAGAGGATGCAGAAGTACATGACGAGGATCGGCCAGTAGACCGGGATGTCGAACACCTCGGAGAAGGTGCAGAAGAGCGCTAGCACGCTCGCGCGCGTCGCCGACAGCCTGGGCGCAAACGACACATGAGCGGTGAGCGGGTCGTCGCAAAAGGCCCCCGAGAACGCCATGCATTACGCACCAGAACTGCCACTCTGGCAGCCGCCGCACGAACGGCCGGAACTCGTCGTCGCGCTGCGAGGGCAGCGAGGAGCTGGCGTCCTCCCCGCCGCCCTCGATCTCGTCTGCCAGCAGGTCGTCCTGCAGCGACGGGTCGAACTTGGGCTGGAGGAAGGCGAGCAGGAGGTTCAGGAGGTAGATTGCGTGGGCGTCTGGGACGGTACGTTAGCACACGCTTGCGCAGATGTGGGGACGACGGCGCGAGACACGTACAGCACACTGCAGGGATAGTGCGTTCGTGGTTCCGGTGAGCACACGTCACGAACATGAGATACAGATGCACCGACCGATATACCACTGTTACCGCCGCGGGATCCGTCAGCTCCGCACCAGTCCCTGCAGCAGGCGAACACTCACTCCTTGCGCGAACACAATCCTCAGGCCGAACACCGCGAGCAGCCCGGCCGTCCCCACCCATCTGTACAACACAAAAGGCGTGATGCGGTCCAGCAATTGCTGATACTGCCGCTGCGCATGGCTGAGTTGGCCCGTAACAGAGGACCCTCCTGGTTCGGACGAAGACATCATTTTGCTATAGAGTCACAGAAAGCGGTTGGGAAAAGCAAGGAGGGGTCGTAGCCGTCGTCGTCGTATTCAGAGAGAGAGAGAGACCGCCGTTGTACAATTTGATTTTGGACAGTGAGGGAAGCAGCAGGCTGCAGTATCGTGCGTTCACTGGAGCGCGTCGTGGCAGTGATCGAAACGCAGCACGGCAAACACCGAACGGGGTCAACATGGCTGAGCTCCGCCTCGAGACCAGTACCTAGTGGAGAATGCTCCATCAGACGCACAGCAATCAAGTACATGATGAGAACTCATGGTGCTACGCAGGCTCCTTCCCGTCGCTGTGGGAGTTGACGCAAGCTGAGTCCTGCAAACCCATTCACCACGCTTGTGCCACAATCCGACTACATCCGGGCCAAAATCAAACCCCGAATCCCAACCTCGTAAAGGCACATGATCTGTGGCAAGACTTCAAGATAAAGCATCGAGTATGCTATTCGAATGAAGTCCAATATAACTCCCATGCCAGCGGGAAGGAGCCTGTAGTCAGTGTTCTCGAATGACAATGTGTTCGACATCGACTGTATTCTATCAACATTGAAAATCGAGGTGCTCCAAGAAATGAAGAAGCTATATAAATACGGGGCAACCCAAAAGAAGCAGAACTAGCAAAGCGCCACATACGTGAATCTCAAAATTTCCCCTCTCCAGTGCCAACGACGCTATAGCCCGCCTTCGCCTTCCTTCTCCCGTGAGCCAGCACCCCGAAAATCGCGATCAGGAGCACAAGTACAACACCCAATCCACCCATGATGATGTACTCGTTCCGTAGCAGCGCATGCGCGTCCGCCTGAGAAACACCGACCGATGGCGACGGCGAGCTGGCCACCGCGCCCCTCATGAGCGCACCGCTGTCATGCACAAACTTGGACGTCGCCGAGGCCGAGGCCATCGACGCGGATGCGGTGCCGCCCCCGGTCATATTCTGCCCCGTGTAGCAGTACCGCTCGAAGCACCCATCGCACACCTGTGTCCGCTTCGCGCCCGTCCTTGCACGGGCCCGCTCCACTGTCGCACACGCGACGCACAGACCCCACTCGTCGTCGTGGTCGAGTAGGTTGTCATTGTCTACATACCCACGCGACGCGAGGATCTGGCCGTGCGCGAAGATGTCCGTTTGGTTTGCGACGGGGAGCGCCAGCATCGCCGTGCTGATGTTCGTGACGCCAGTGGGATCGGCGTTCGGGATATAGACGAAGAGCCTGTGGATCGCGTGAGCAAAGTGAGGTATGTTACAGCCCAAGGACCTACGGGAACGCCTCTTCCTGGTTGGTCGGCCCGTCGCACCCGAAAAATACTGGGCGTACATTCAGCCCCTTGGAGATAAACTCGTCCGTCGAGTTCGGGAACGGCGTGGGGAAATTGATGGTCCCAGAGGGAAGGACAACAGCCTTCTCTTTTGTCGCGAGCAGCGACAGCCCCTCAGGCTTCGTATCATTTGTCTCTCCGGACTGAAAGACAATATTCACATTGTGATCCACGGAAGCGAAACACGAAGACGCACCGAGTCGAGGACAACCACGGCGTCCAGCCCTCTTGCCTTGACCAGCAACGGCAGCAAGGGGATATTCTCCACGTCCAGCGAGCCATCCAGGAGGCTCAGGTTTGTCTCCTGTGCGTCCTGGTACGTGCCCGCGTGCATTCCATAGAACGGGTTTGCAACGCTCGTCACGTCCATTTCTTGCCCGGGCTCGCGCTCGCCGAACACCTTCGTCAGGTTTGCGATCAAGGGCTCAAATGTGTCCTTCCAGTAGATACTGTCCGTGACGTTGTACTGGTGGAAGGTACACGACGACGTGCCGATCATGAGCCCCGCGTTGTCGAAGCTATTCACGCAGGACGACGGAGCGCCGCCATGGAACGTCGAGCCAAGGTAAGGTAGCTCGACGAATGCGGCGAGCTGAGGATCGTAAGATCCAAATCTACACAAAACCGAGTTTCGTCAATGTTTGTAGGTATCATGACAGCACAGCAGTGTACTCACTCGAATGGTGTCAGCTCGTATACAACACTGGTGAGCGGCAGGTCGCCCGTGTCGCCAAACGCTTTGCCCTGTGCTTGAGGCGAATACTCATCTATGACCACAATAGGAAACGGCATGGTCTGGTCTTTCCATGTTTGCCTGAGATGTGGTAGTTTTATGGATCACTTTTCGAGTATGACAAATAACGGCAGGGACGTACAGCTGTGTTGCAGAGGAATAGGACAAACTCGCAGCATGGTTCCCTGCAGTCGTGTTGGATGCAAACGACTGGGTTCCGTTTGTCCCTGGAAGGAAGTGATAAGAGAGCTGTAGTCCCAATGATCAGCAACCAGTTATTGGCAGAACATTGCAGCTACTCACTGCACGTCCCCAGAAGTCACAGAACGTCACCGGAAAGCCCTGGGATTGCTTTGCACCCAGGTCGTCGTAGAGGTGGGTGAAAAAGATGTCAGCATATTCACCGGATGGCCCTGGCTCAAAGAGGTTCACATCCAGCTGCCAGCCAGGGATGCCTGATGTATCATTGCCGAAGACCAGGTCGGAGAGCACGGGGAACTCGTTGAACATAAGACTTGTGGTTAAATACGACCCTCTGCACGCAATCAGCTACAACTCGGCCCTGTTTATGGCGATCAATGTAACACATACCCCGACAACCCCGTGATGTACGCAGAGGACTGGAGAAGCCCGCCGAGGCCTGCATCCACGCTGCTACGCACCCGAGCGTCGAACGCCTCCAACGATGCCGCACCGAAAAGCGCTGCGCGATAGTTACCGCCAGACACAGAGATGGCAATATTTGGCGCGTCGTCCACCGAGAGCTTGGAGAAGTCGCCGCTGTACACTTCGGTCATGTTGGGACCCAACCAGCTCTGCATGCTCTGCTTGGCAATTTGCTTGCGAGCCCGAACATACTTTTGCTCGCTCTACATACACAATGTCAATCGCGTATACGGTGCTTGTAATGCTCCAGTACACACCGGATGCAATGTCTGGTTTTTTGCTTGCGGTGTACCAGCCTCCCGCATGAGGCGCTCGCTGGGGCAGTTCACATGCTGGGGCGCATAGTAATTCGCCATATTGTGCGTGGATAGAATAATATCGAAATCGGAAAAGAGCTGGACGGCGATGCCTACAGTGTGCGACAATAAGGACTGTGAGGAGGTGTCAAGTCAGAATGAGTTTCACGGAATGCTTGCATTGCAGCCCTATATACTGGACCGATATTGCTGCGTCGGCTGGCCGGTGGGCGCTGCAACGGAGACTAAGCCCGCCGCCCTATAATTACCCATCATACGATGAACGTTGGCACTGCTTTTCGAGAACAGCGCCTCGCTGGCTGGAGGATCAAGATCGCACGCAGCAATGAGAAGTCGCGCAGCGCACAGCCGCGCTAGGGTCAGCGCAGCCCGGACAATCGACCTGCCCACTATCCTGGGCACCAAGGACGGGACCATGGCGCTCGCAACATTCATCGCGCGCAGCGGGGCCTTCACGAAGACGGGTACACCCCGGCTCGCCCACGCGGAGGCGAAGACGGAGGTGCAGAAGGCAGAGGGCGCGGCAGATGACGGCCCTGGGGGAGAGGCCGATGCGGTCGGCGAGGTGGAGTACTCTGACAGCGAAGATTGCGGGATGTAGGCGATGCCGACGACCCTTCGCATATTATGCCCCGTGTGCGACAGCGTACTAGATCGCCTGAAGCTTGAGCGCTGAGCGCTTGAGTACGCCGCAATGCGAGTGATGGCACAGCGCGCCCTGCCCCAACTCCAACGTACTGAACCCTAGCGTTGCGCTGCAACTCGCTCGTGCGCTGCGCAAAACCATGTTGCTATGCATTCCGAGCGGTCGATCAGAGACAGGCTACTGAGCAGTGAGTGAGGATCGTGAGGCAGACACTTGCTTTCAAACACACGGACCTGGCGTCTCAGTCTTCGTCCGTGTGTCTTCAAGCAAGTGTCTGCCTGACGATCCTCACCAGTGATGTGCCAGTCACTGACTATTGATAGTAAATCACTTGAATGATGGTGATTACCCCACAGTCGACCACCGTTGTGTTAGAGGACCCCGGGCTTACCCTCAGAGCCATGACTTTCCCAGGGTCAGTGGCAAGTCAGCGGTCAGTGACTATGCTGGATGACCATAGACGTTGACCGCACATCACTGAGTGTGGATCACTATCCGCAAAGAACAGTAAGATCTCCGAGGGATGAGGGTATGTCACCCTGAAGCGCCGAGCGCCGCTCTGCTCCATGCCGCCTATCTGTACTTTTTACGAGGGGAGTCTATCAATATGGGTTTTGCTGTAACACATCGTTGGGCGCGTTGGTGTGTTTGATGTTTCAGCCCAAATATAGATTGATGATCCATCATACGCAAGAAAATCCACGTCTCAATTCTTGTAGCTGCAGTGTATCGGCGTGACGCCCGTCGCGGAGCAGAATGTGGGTCCGCCTTGGAGCAATCAAAGCATCATCAAAAAGGCTGCCCTCTCGTCGCTGTTTCGTTCGCGGAGCGCCTTTTTGGTTTTGGTAGATAGTTCCGACGCCGACCCGACTGATTCCACAGCGAGCTAATAGTTTACATTTGCCTTCGGTTTGAAGAGGGTGTGACCCTAACCCTAGGTTATAACCCATTCGCCCGCAGCTCTTGTGCAATGCAAAGCTGACCTGCTTCAAATTCTCCTCGAGGTCCTTTTTGATATCTGTTGCGTGGATAGGCACGGCACTACTAGTTCACACAAAGTCCAGCATTCGAAGGCGTCCTGGTCCCTATAAGACCGCTAACTATATGCGTCTGATGGGTACTATCTACTACATCCTTGCGCAATTCCGGGACACGTTGGTTTGCAGCACCGTATATCGAGGCATCTGTTCGTATGCAAGTGTATGTTAAGTTATGACCCGATTTTCATGACGACGGAGGGCACGAATGGGAGCTCGAAGAGGTCATCTGGATGCAGGGCCGGCTCAGCGGCACGGAGGCAGCCTGCTCCGTGTCCGCTATGGTGTCCGTCTTCATCGAGGGCAGTATTTGGCGACATCTCCTCACAAATGCCATCTCGCTAAGATGAGCAACACGAAGGTACGTTTCTGTTCCCTGTATGCGCACATCATCTCATCTCTGCCTCAGTCCGAACCTGCCGCGGTGTCGCATATGCGCGCGCATGTCCTGGCCCATCTAGCAGATCATCGTGCACGCGTGTCCCCGGGGAGCACTAGCCCCCCCTTGATGGTTGGCTTCCAGGGCCCTCAAGGCAGCGGCAAGACGTTCCTATCGTCTCTGCTCGCCGAGACGCTCAGGGCCCCGCCGCATTCGCTCTCCGTCGCGGTGCTGTCGATCGACGATCTGTACCTGCCCCACGACGGCCTTGTCGCGCTGGCGCATGCCTACCCTCACAATGGCCTTCTCAAAGGGCGCGGACAGCCGGGGACGCACGACCTGCCTCTCGGGCTCGCTGTCTTGAACAACCTGCGGGAGATCAACGACGGCGCCGCGCGCGCGGTGCAGCTCCCGCGCTTCGAGAAGAGCCTGCACGGCGGCGAGGGCGACAGAGTCGAGGGAGGCCCGGTCGTTCGCCCCCCGCTGGACGTCGTGATCCTGGAGGGGTGGTGTGTGGGGTTCTACCCGATCGCAGACGGGGAGCTCGAGCGCCGCTGGGGCCGCCCGGTCCCGGGGCTCGGCGCGGACTTTCTCGAGAGGCGCGGATTCCGGAAGGACGACGTCCGGGAGGTGAACGGGCTGCTGAGGGCGTATCTGCCGTGGTGGGACTGCCTGCAGGTGTTCGTCCAGGTGCGTCGGCGCGCCCCTGCTGGGCACCCCCGCGACCGCTCACCGCCCACTGCGCACCACTCGGGGCGTCTAGATCAAGCCGGAGGACGCGCACCCGTACACGCACATATACAAGTGGCGGCGGCAGCAGGAGCACCATATGAAGGCGCAGAACGGCGGGAAGGGCATGACGGACGCGCAAGTGGAAGCGTGAGTGTCGTGCCGCGTCGCGCTGTCCTGCGCCGGCTCACCGTGTGTTGTGTGCAGCTTCGTGGACCGCTATATCCCGGGCTATGTCTTTTTTGGGGACGGCGTGACGGAGGGAGGTGTGGACTCTGGGGGCGAGATGCGACGTCCGCCGTGGCTGCAGCGCGGACAGAGGATCGAAATCGACGAGAATAGAGAGGTCGTGGGTGTGAGCACATTCTAAGTATGGATATGCGCTGGGTGTGTGTCCTCGTTGATACGCGGGGTTCGGCACTGACATATTTCCGAAGCAGCCCCGTGATATGGGGACGTTGTGGTACATCCTTCCTGCGCATTGTATACACATCGCGGGTAACGCGTAACTTCTTGCCGGTCAACCTTACACGGCTGCTGCACCAGGAACGATACCTGAACCACGCATTTCCCCACGCTAGAATTTTTATCTGGAAACGGCGGCTCTCATCTTATTCTGCACGCTATTAGCTTGAGGTTGCCCCACACACAGTCTCACAGACAGCACACCTCATTTCTATCTCGATCCCTCCTCGACCATCTGGCTACCGTCGCTTATCTCACCGCCCCATCCCGCCTGTGATATGAATGTGAATTCGGTTGACCGGATTTGATACACTGCGGGATGTTCCCCCAGTGTGGCACTTGCACGAAGGTACAAGTGCGCCGCAACCTCTGACTCGTGCAGAAGATCCACGCATGAGACGGCGTTGCCCACGAGCTTCGAGAACCCAGCTGCGCGTTTTCGAGACAGACAAGGACCGAGTCGTGATCCGGTATTTGATGCATGTGTCGATCGTCCGCAGCATAATCAAAGCGTATCTGACAGCATCACAAAGTCCAATAGTCAAAATATCATCATGCCCAGCGTCACGGTAGCACAAGGATGAGAGGCTGGGCTGTCTGCTCCTCGACGCTTCTCCGACGGCCCACAACATCCGACTGCACTCCGTCTTCCGCTCCACTCCGTCCGTCCCACCGCACATCGACTATCCGAACGATCTCCCCACCCCGCGAGTCACCAGCAATCGCGGCCAGATCTTGTGGATCCCTTCGACGATCTAGCACCCGGATGTGTGGCACCTTGACGAAGCCGCACTCGACAGGGATGAGTTTCCAGACCAACGACTCTTCGGCACCAGGCAACAAGATCGGAATGCGGCCGCTCCGAAGACCGGCAACGACAAAGCTATCTGTGGTGTCTGTCTCGAGATGCACGACGATATTGGCAGCGCGCGATGGGTGCCTGTTGCGGATATCGAGGCGGAGCAGGAACGGGACGTGTAGCTTCCCGGAGGGGGGCGCGTGCAGTAGTGCAACGAGTGCGTCAACTGGTGGGCGCAGTGGCGGAAGCGGGAAGCGGCTAGTTGCTGTGGGTCCGTATGTGCCGTCGGGGAGGATTCTATGCAGCGTTTGAGTCAACACATTGGGCCGATATCAACAACCCAAGCCATACCTCCTCCAGGACAGTTCATACATGCCCGGCCCAGCAATATCCTCGCCTTGTATGTAATCCTCGCCGATGGCCAAACCAATACGACAACGATCACAAAACTCGTCACCGGAGAGCCATTCTATTCAGGAGTGAGGAAGAGTGGGCTCAGGCGAGAGGGAGAAATCATTACCAGAGAGGAAGTCCTCTTCGCTTTGTTCAGTAGAACTGTCGATAACGTGGGCTTGATTGTTATTCTATGCAAACGGATGAGACAGTCCAGCGTGTTGCATGAACAATATGTGTGACTCACTTCTCGGACGACCTTTACTGCCTCGACTACTATACCGGAAGGCGCCGTACAAGAAATCGAAGTGGTTACTATCGCCTCGCCTACATCACCATCATCCCAGAATTCATGGCTGTAGGTGGCAAGGTCGGCCAGCCCGGGCTGCTTCCGCAAAGATCGATTATACAAAACTTGCTGTTCGACTCTAATCGGCTCGACTGCGGGAATCACCAAGGTTCGCAGCGCCTCGTCCCTATCTGCAAGAGATGGTGCGGTTGGGCTACCAGGCGGAGTGAGTCCACTGACTACGTCATCGACAGCGACCACTCGGGACTGCACAGAGATATCAATGACCCTATCATAGGCAGCACCAGCACTAGCCAGATGGAGTGTGATGGAAGTACTGGCGCCTGGTGCGATGACACCTAACGAGGCTCCCTTCACCAGACTCGTCGAGCGGTCGTCGCCAATGCGAATAAAGTTCTCTGTCGAGTGCAAGTTGGGCACAGTGAGTAGATGGCCAAGTCTACATTTGCAGAGCACATACCAGCTTCATCGATTTCTGTGGGCTGCAAAAGCGCATCCACCACAATATCCATATCTCGATCATCGAAATTCTTCACATCAACACAGATGGGAAACTCTTCTCCAATCAATGCAGGGGCGTGATGCGAGATGTTGACCTCTACCTTGTGTGGTCGATGGCGGACACTAAGTAACATGTCAGAAGTGCAGGCACATGCAAAGATGTGAACTCACGTCACAGTAGAGTAATGCTCCCGACGTATTGGTACGAATGTCCAGGGCTCGATTTTGTTGAGCCATTTCGGGTATGTCGGACCAGCATGTGTGGCGGAAGGAAACAGGGGAACCTGTATCTGCCAGCTACCCTCCCTCAAGGTCAAAATAAGCTTCGTAATCTATGGGCAATCATTAGTGCCAGCAAAAAGCGCTTTGACCAACCAACGATCCACCTTGATAATTGTGGGTACGTCTGACGAGACGCTGCCCGAGAAGACAATCCTGCCGTCTGGACGCCATCTCAGCGACCCCTCCACTTCCTTATCCTCAGATTCGGCCTCTGATGTTGGGGAAGCGATGTACCCTAGGTCAATCTTCTGCAGAGAAGGTGTTCCCTCATACACGGCTGGTGTATGGCGGATGGTGACGGGCGGTAGATCGGAAGAGAAGTGTATGCTGAGAGATACGAATGGCAGCGACGCCATGGACACTGTTGGGCGTGCAGTCAGCGATAGCTGGAATGCCACCGCCTCTCCCACAATGACATCATTCCTCCAGAAGACTGTAGACGAGACTACTACAGATCGTGACGAATCAACATCAGTATTCTGGCTATAGGCTGTGTGACCCACGAACGCACAGATCGGTTCCAAATCCGACGAATCGATCACGAAAGGCTCCTCCGTTATTGACGGCACGGAGCTCTGATATACATCAACCAGCCGCTATCTCCCAGAGCGCAATATGCACTGACCTTCAGGACCGCACTTAGGTCTTCCTGCGTTGAGTCGGCATCATCCTGCTGTGTTCTGATTCCTACGAGTCATGGTTATCAGAAGGTTACGTTTACCGTGGGAGGATTTGACAAACCATGCCCCAACATCTCGAATAACAACCGTACGCTGAGTTCCATGTCGCCCATCTGCTGCGCGCATGAATACCATGCCGTGAGTAGCGGTTGAAGTAGAGATCCCCATTTCTCTCTGCGGTACGTTTTCGCTATCCGCTCGAAGAACCTGTGGAACATGAACGTAATGATCAGTACTGGGTTGGGGCGCCTTGTGCGCCACATATGCGCACCGAACTGCCATGTCGAATTTGCCCGATTCGTAGTAAGTCTGAGCAATGCAATATGCTATCCATAGCGTCAAACGGCTATGGCCTTGAGTATTTGACGGGCTGAAGGCTTTGAAAAGCTCGTACGAGCGGGTATAGAGCTGTGAGCCTGTCTGTGAGCATCGGAGTACGTGTGCACGCGTCCGACAATAGCACACCCACCTCCAGAACTAAAGCCAGATGGTCTACCTTCTTCTCATTCGTAAATCCAGGCGATGTCGTGGTCGGTTCTTCCTTCGCCTATTTCCCATATACCATGTGGCTGTGAATATTCATTCTATGAAGTTCTGTCGAGGGCTCACCTCCGCGTCCAGAGCACTCAGGAAGCGTTCTCGTCTCCTTTCAGTACATTTTGCTGCCATATAGTAGTAGAACCCTGGATGCTGCAGCGCCTGAGTAGGATTCAACCCTAGCATACGCATTGCCTCCATCTCCAAGATAGTCCGTTGGCTGCTATCCAATGTCTGTGCTACAGCAGCAGCCGCTGCGACCGCAGGCGGCGATGTCGAGAAATGTGTTGGGATCGTGAGTGTTGAGCGGGTGCCTTGTTCCAAAAGCTCTGCAAAGGCGCGATGTCTATGCACACATTCAGAAAATATAGCTTTACAGGAACATTGCAGTTCACTGACTGTCTCGCTAGCCAGCTCCAAAACTCGAACGTCTCCTCGCCAATGCCCCAGCCACGCGAAAAGTCTGCAAACTTGCGCATATGATTATTGTGCGTAGAAAGAGCAAGAGAATGTTCGTTGTTGTACAGGTATAGTTTGCAAATCTAGGTACTGTTCAGAGCGTATCCAGGTGTGGGACCTAGCATATTTGCACACCTTCATGTTAATGCAGTCAGCCAGCACCTTTGCCTCGGCCCACCGCTTCGTTCTTGGGGGCAGGATTGCCGTAGAGCCAAACATTACCAGTAGACTCGCATACGCGTCCTGGTAGTGTCTTGACGTGCGCATATGTTCAGCACAATCAAAGACTAGCAATATTCGCGGCGTACCTGAGCGCGACCTCGTCCTCTCCCCTGAACTCGGCGAAACATGCCAGCTTGTATTCATACCGGACAGACCACCCCTCTGTTCTAAGCGGGCGTACTTCGCCCCTAAGCGGAGGAAGGGAGTAAGCACTTACAGCCTGCGAGTGCCTGTTGCGCTTGCGACGCACGCGTTTGGAGTGATTGGTATAGTACTCAAGGGCGGGCTCCCACAATGCTTCCTGCAGACTGTGCACGAATTCGCCAACCTCGGACTGCGAGACAGGGCTCAGCACGAACAGCGCCGCACGAGGGTCGAGCCCGCTGTTTCTGCGGATGTAGGTCAGACGGACGTCCAGTACCGCTTCATCTGCGCGGACAATGAGAATTTATACGTGCGAAGAACTCACACCACATACCTAACATCTTCCTGCTAGCTAAGAGCACCACTGTCAGCTTAACGCCGCGCTCAGCCGCGATCCGCTTCCGCTGCGCAATCTCGGCACAAAGCTCGTTGTCCTTCCGCCTCTCTTCAGTCTCACGTTGCTGGTCTATTTCCTCCGTCTCCAGTGGGGCTCGTTCGGCCTGCGGGTACTCATATATGCGCATAAATACCACCAGCACCGATGGTATCAGCGTCGTGTGCTTGCGAATCCATATGGGCGCAATGAGCCCATCCGGATACAGAGGCGACGTCGGCGTCAGGGGGGATAGCGGCGAGTGAGAGTTTTGGTACTGCGGATCGTCTGGGGGCACGAGTTTTCGCGGGGGGAAGCGCACGTCCTGATATTGTCTCTGTCACTCCCAACTGAGAAGAGCTCTAGGTAGCGTACCTTGTCCGCAATGACCACCTGGAACTTCCTAGCCCTCTCCGGCTGCCATATCGCTACCTTGCGTTGATGCAGCAGTGATTCGCGTAGACGCCATGAAAGCACCGCGAACGGATCCTTGCCTTGCCCCGGGGGTTGCGGGGGCTCGAGCCCGCCGACAAACATGACCGGCGCGAGCTGTGCCAACAACTCGGGCGGATACGAGTTCATGTTGTGAATCTACAGAAATATCATGGAGGATGGAGGGAATCACACTGCACAGAAGTGGGTCGGACGCGTCTGTGTCACGCGCCTCGCTCATGCGTATTGGAGGCAAGCCTTCCGCGCCATTTGTACATGTTTATTTTGAGCGTTTGAGCGGTTTGGAATGAGCGCCGGAGCGCCGAGCTTCATACAAGCGACAAACGTATAATTTGTGTACTTGATTTGGCGATACGACCAATATTTACTAATAACCTCATGCCTCTGGTAGTATTTGTAGATAAATTGAGGCGTAAGCTCATTCCCAGCGCATGAAGAGAATGCGCAAGTATCTGCCAAGGATATAATATATGTGTGTCGCATATATATCCTTGGCAGATGCTTGCGCATTCTGACTGCAGAAGTGAGGAGGCAAAGGAAGGAAGGAAAGACCTTCAACCTGCGCCGGCTCCGGATATCAAAGCGCTTATGCACCCACACGACGACGCATACGTCTATGACAGGCTCTAACTCGTCGTAGACCATTCTCACTACTCAAGAACACCCAGGGTACTCACTAGCGTGTAGTGCATCCATGCCGACCCGAGAAATAGAGACTCACACTAAAACTGTAGTGCGAGTGACCACTTCACGGTTGTCATTGCAGATTTAGTACATTGTCAGTAGAGGGATGATCGTATCTTTTATACGAGGGCTAGTAATGCGCGAGCATAGTTTAGGAGGCTCAAACGATCTCAGTTGACGCACGAATGTTCTGATGCGTCGGATTCAGAACCGCGCCCATGTACTGAATTATTTCGGTCTGAAGCACCGACACCCGTGCTCGTCAAACTTCACCTCTTTCTAATGAGGTAGAAGAGTCAATTCGAATCAAAACGCGTTGTCAGCTACCCGTATGGCCTAGCCGACAAGAACATACCACATACTATCATACAATCCATAGACACAAGGACAGCTTGATGCAGCCAGGTCACAACAGTAAAATAGATAGCGCGATTAAATCTGCAGAACTCAGACTTATTATGCCAGCGTATCGGCTCCATTCTCCGAATCGAGTGACCCTAAAGGCTCGGGAGAGTAAACTGTTATGCGATACGGGAATGGTTTGACATGACTGCCCTCCTGTCAGCCAACATCACGCTTCAGAATCGACAAACCCACCTTGTGACGGCAGTATTGAAGGCGACTTGAGGCTCAACCTCCCGACCGGTGCCGTCAAGAGCTTTCGAGATGTTGAATGTGGCAAGAATGTTCGAAATGACCAGGAAAGTGGACATTTCAGCGAAGTGAGCACCTGGTACAGCCGTGAGTCGTTGGACACATGGCATGATTTTAGGATATGCTTACCTGGGCAGACTCGGCGGCCAAATCCGAAAATGTATTTGCGTGGATCTCACTGCGGTTCGGCACCCTGAGGAGGCAGAGACCGCTCTGGATAGAACAGGATAAAGGTCAGGATCATGTGCAATAGCCCTGTATATAATTGTCAGTACGTCTAGTGACAGAAAGACATGAGAGCTTGACCAGATGTTCGCGTAGACTGTAGTCCCTTTCGGGATCCAGTAGCCATTGTAGCTATCATCTTCAACCACTCTGTGCGGTAAACCTGAAGGTAGGATCAGCCACACGATGCGCAAAAGACGTGAGACATGTCCTGACCTAACGGGGGTACTGGAGCCCATCTCAAAACCTCCTTGAGCAGAGCAGAGACGTATGGCAAATGAGGTTCGTCGTCGATACTCGGAAGCATGTTTCCCACGACACGATCTATCTCTGCTTGTGCCCGCCTTTGGACTTGACGATGGAGGGACAGAAGGAAGAAAGTGGTTACCACGCCAACAACCTACCACATATGTGAGGACGACCGACATGTGGTGAAGACTATGACCATACCGTGTCGGCGCCTCCGGCATACAAAGCACTGCTGCACCATTTGAACATATTTTCTTCTTCAGGGTCCGGGATGTGACCATCGTCGGGGCGGAGGTTCAGAGACACGAACGAGTCCAAATAATGTCCGGACTCCTGTACATTGCAGACAGACGCAACCCTCTGAGCAACTAAGCCACAGCATCCACGAAGAAGCACGATCTCACAATTTGCTCCTTGGCCCATGCATGCGGGACGGCGTCGATGCGTGAAAACTCCTTGCGATATATCTCTGCTTGACGATGAAAGTTGGCAAACGGGAACCACTTCGGAACGAACCGAACTGTAGGATACGCAATTAGCATGGGCGTCGGCAGGGCCTGATAGAAAAGAATGCCAACGGATGGGATACGTATCGACCAGCCATCTGCCAGGCTTGACGATCTCAGCATGAACCTTGATCGACTCTTCCATAAGCAAGACGAAATCATCATCATTTTCTGCAACTGTCCAGCCGTAAGCGACCTTCAATATCACTGCGCCTGCATTCCTGATGAACAGTGTTTAACTCAGATGGAGGCTGTTTGATTTCAGTGGATAATACGAACCGCCGGATATGGGACACAAATTGTTCAGGACTTCTTGCTAGCTCCAGGAACAGAGTCCTCGTCTCTTCCTCTTGGATTGCTCTGTATGTCCGAGTCGCTCTTTGGTTCAACCCGCTCTGTAGGAGCTTTCTGTATATCTTGAAACGGGGGTGCTTGACTGATATGTTGAAGACAGCGAGCTCTCGGCCGACTAGTTCCTTGTACATCCATGCCATGGGTCTGTCCGAGTACAAGCTTACCCGAGATTCCAGAAGATCCAAGGCGACCTTCAGAGTATTCAAAACGTGCATTCGGCGTCCGTGCACACGGAAATAGACAACAGGTCCTAAGGAACATGAATGGGGAATCAACGAGCGGAGAAATCTATATCACACTTGTGCGACAGACCGTGCATCTGGGACAATACAGCGTAGGTCAGCCATGGTTCGGTGGTGGGGAGTTGGTGGGCATTCCCGGTCCAGAACTTGGCTTTGGGACCTGGCGGCAAAGGAGGGCGTTTAGATGAGGTCTTGAAGATCACAACGACAAGGCAGAGCACGCTGAGGGACACGATGAGCCCCCACATGACTGGATACACGCGATGCGTATAGACTGCGCAGGGTATGAGACTGCTCAAGGACACCGATGCTCTGCAGAACTATACTATTGTAACCTGAAAGTATGTTGACACCTGTTCGCCGCTGCAACGTGCTCATTTCCAGGCCGATAACTTACTTGCAAGAAGACGGCCAAAGGATCGAAGCGATAGTTGTTCCGAATAGTAAGATAAGGGGGGGTGTTCAACTCACATGGCGGTAGGCCGCCCGGTATCCAAAAGCCGCTGGCACCTCTAGGGCGAATACAAATTTTATGGAATGTAGATTGAACAATAAGCGTGATGCAACCATCGCCCGTTCATAACGGATCGGAGGAAGGAAGGAAGCTGTTTCCTTCTATTTATATCCTTTGACTGCCGTAAGTGGCTACCTTCTTGCAGTATCTGGACGGTTCGCAAACCCAAACCGGACTCTGAAACAGGCCCGTTATGTGGGTCCATGCCGTTTGGCAGAAGAAACACGCCCAGAGAGTGTTCGTTGACCATTGAGTTACCAATAAGTGATCAATGTGGGTGGGCCGGGGGTGGATGAGGTAAGCCGGACGATCGTGTTTGAGCTAAAGAACGGAGTTCAAGAACAACGTCTGCAACGCCACCGTGGGGCGTCTCAAAGCGCGGCAACACTATACTAGTACTGTCACTCAGAACTGCGGCCGCCGGCGGTCTCGGCGTCTACAAAGTTTCGAGTAAGAGTCATCATGGGCAAGATGCATCGAATGCATCGCATCCGCTGACAACGATGCATGCCTCTTTCTTAATATCGGCTTCTTCGATACCTCATATACGTAAATCTCCGAATTCCCTGTACCAGACACCTATACCGTCGCGCTTCGCCGAGTCATTACTGGCATCTTATAGTCTCCACGATCCATACGATGTCCCGGATGGAACTCGAATTACAAACCGATTCCTTCGTTCTGGATGGTCCGTTAGCCACCGGGGGTCCTGCTATGAAAATGGCGGCTAAACGATACAGACCCGGCTGCAGCTGCGAGCGGGGGTTCACACTCCTCCTTGCCCATGGGTCTGGCTTCCGTAAGTCAACAAAGCGGTCAAATCAGCCATGTTACTGAACCCGCCTCACTAGACAAGGAATTGTGGGAGCCCACTTTGAACGCCTTATTCCGACTCCAGAACCACGACCCATCTTCTCACGTAATTCGAGAAGTTTGGGCATTCGACTGGCAAGCCCATGGGGACTCAGCGATCCTGAATGCAGATGAGCTAAAACATAGAGAGGAGGCGATTAGTATGTTGCAAGGTCTGTGCATCCTACACAATCGTGCTGAAACATTGGCTAGCTCTCGCGGACTGGGCGATGGCCATTGTCACCTTTCTCAAAACACCCCATGTCAGTGGACACCGCTTGATTGCGATTGGACATTCTGCTGGATCGTCAACATTGTATGTCCTGTTTATGTATTCACATCGTGCAGTCAATAAATCCAGTTGTGCACAGCATGTATACGACTAAGTTGCTGGAGCCAGGGGTCGTCCCGTACCTTGGAATTATCCTCGTCGAACCTCCGCTTATCGACAAGGAGACCTTCTATGCTCATCTCGAGCGGCAAAAGAAGGCCTTGCGCATAGCGAGGAAAGCAGTCTCCGCTCGTCGAGATGTCTGGCCGAGTAGAGAGGATGCATTTCAATGGTTCAGCAAGCGTTTCCCTTGGAACACTTGGGACGCGCGAGTCTTGCAACTGTTCTGTGTCAGTCATGTCATGCTGTACACCGGTAACCTGCCGTATCTGTGTTCGCTTACGTGCATTCTTTTGGCCAGTCGTTTGGACTGCGTCCAGCATCCGACGACTCTGCTCCAGGAGCAGTAGTAACGAAGTGTGCTAAATCGGAGGAGGCCAAGAACTACGACGACGTCGAACATACGTTCGAGGCCACGGAACAGATCGAGAAAGTCTGCCATGATATCCCGATTCATGTGGTCTTTGGCGAGATCCTCGACTTGACGCACGTATTCAGCGTCCCCACATCATCTCCGTACCTAACTCATGCGTTGTGTCCTCCACATAGGCCTAGCTACGGACAGGCGTCTATGATAGATAAGTCGAAGGGGAGAGACGTCGCATCAGTCGTCCGTATTCCCGGCGCAGGTCATATGGTACGTATCCTTTATTTACTGACGTGTGAACTAGAGCCAGTATGCTCATCACCCGACAGATCGTTCAGCAAAAGCCGGAGGAACTTGCATCTGTCCTGATAAACATATTGCACGGATTGCGTGCGCGCGTCTCCAAGCTGTAGGAATCAATGACCTCAGAATCTCTCATTGGTGGGACTTCAGATCGATGTCTTGCCTCTCTTCAGGCAGACAAGTAAGTGGGAAAGTCCCTATTGAGACGTTGCAAACGTGTACATATGTACCTTCCAGCATCTCCAGATACAGCGCCCAGAAACCATGTTACAACTTCATGACACTTGCAGTAGGATGCCATGGCGGGAAGCGTTTCGATGCATCGCCACACTATGCTTGATGAGTGTTTGCGATGGATTTAAAAATACATGCGATGAAAGTACAACGTTCCAGAGACCGGATTTGCATGTAGATTGAAACGTTCACGGTAGCCCACGTCCACTCCTTGTAGCCTTTGCGACCTCACTTTGCGCCTCGTCACGCAGGTATCGCGCGTAGATCGGCTCGTAGTGCTCCAGGTCCTATCCGAAAGCACATAGAATCAGCGCCGAGCGGACCAACAGACTAATCCTACTCACGCTCTGCGTTTTGCGCACGCTCTCGCGATTTATCAATTGCTCCACATAGTCTTTCCATTTCGGACTTACGCCCTCGCGCGTGTACCCGCGGTGCTCCTTGAGGATGTAGTCGCGGATAACCCACGGTGCTACCACGACGTCCACGAGACTGAAATGCTCGCCGAGGAAGTACGGGCCCTTGACCTTATCTGCCACCGCGCGCAACGTGACATAGTACTCCTCGAGGAACTGCTTCTGCTTCTCGGGCTCCTGCGCCTGCAGCACGCGGTGGAACGCCGGGATGATCGACTTCGAGACGTGGTCTACCCAGAGACGCACGTATGCCCGGTCGAAGGGGTCCTGCGGGAGCAAGTGGGGCGCGCGACTCGGGTACGCGTCCTCGAGGAATTCGCAGATCACGAGTGATTCATAGAGGGCCCGGCCTTTGTACTCTATAGCGGGAACGAGGCCCTTGGGATTGATATCTGCGGATGACGAGCGTCAGTATTCCGAATCTTGACCGCGCGCAGAGACATACCGAGGAAGTGTTGTTCCTTCTTGTACGGGTTAACCTCCTTGTACTGATATGGTATGTTCTTCTCTTCGAGCACAATCCACACCCGCTGGACGAAGGGGCAGAACTGTCCGGCCGTATCGTGGAATCAGTATCGTCTGGGTCGACGCTTATCGTGGTACGCACCCAGCCGGCCCAAAATACCAAGTCTTGCGGCTCCTGGTGCTGCTCCACTGTCTCCGCCGCACGTCCGGTGGCAGTAGGATAAATGTTCTCATCTGGATGACCCATATTGTGTTCAGTGAATAAGAATGATAGTGGTGGCCCGCGCGTTGTGTTCCGGTAGTTATAAACCACATACAGAGTTCAACTGACCAAGCAAGCTGAGTAATGGTATTGCGTCATTCATAACGATGATAAAGTTGACAGACTCCACGAGGCGGGGCTCACAAAGCATCATCATCACATCACATCATCGACCCCGTTATCCTCGAAACATGTTGCAACGTAATTAAGCATCTGCCCATGATTTAGTAGATGCTAATGTCACGCCTGCCAAACGAAGGCTCGGAAGCCATCAGTATGACCTTGTACCCGGACGGGCGCAAGTACTTGCTGTGCTGAGGACATCCAAGACCAGAGGGAGTAGAGTCACTAGACGCGTGAGAGCTCGCTTCGATACTCGGGTTCGCAGTAATATTAATGGTAATGAGTAGGTAGAGCAAAAGTGCCAGACGCTCAGCAGTAGCTGCTCTTTAAGGATGTTATCATGATCGAGATAAAAAGTGACGTAAGCCCGCATGAGCGTCTGTTACTCCTTCCACTTCCATCTCTCGTTTGCATTTCTGGTCTAGCACTCGTTGGAATGCCGCTCATCGAGGTGAGTGTAGTCGCATTCTCCTCAAAGACTGCTAGTTTTGATTGCGTATACCGTGTGGCAATGCACTTGTAGGTCATCGCGAACGATCGTCTAGGTCGCAAAGGTGAGTATGTACGGCGTGTCTTTGGCTTGAGCGATTCTTGAACTGAAGAGGTCGTCAGTGCGCGTCAAATGCAGCCCGGATGACACTGTAGGCGATTTGAAGAAGCTCATTGCCGCTCAAACCGGCACGGACCACACGAAGATTCAGCTGAAGAAGTGGTATGTCCCCGAACTTTGATTGGACAGTCTCGCGGTGTAACTCTCCGGGCTCCTGTCTACTCTGCTAGGTACACGATCTACAAGGACCATATAACTCTAGCGGACTACGAGATCCATGACGGCATGAGCCTCGAGATGTACTAGTTTCATCCCATCTCGCTAATTGACACTGCTGTCTTCCGGCGATGATGCATGTAGGGAATTCGCATAAGTAGTTTGTGGTGTATGTAGGAATATAACTTCATCCGGAGACTGTCGTAAACATGTTCAGTTCGTGGGTGACTTCGAAAGAACTCCAGGTATGTTTAGAGACTATGACTTCCACAATCGACATCCGCTCTTGTCCAACGCTTTTCTGATCTTCGACTCTCGTCTGTTGGGCGCAAGAGCCAAGCAGGTAGGCTCGTTGTCTGGTTGCTCCATCCATAGATGATGTGGCACTGGAGGATCGCTGGAAGAGAGCAGCGTACACAGTTTCTCCAAACTCTTCCTATCTGCCGTCTGCAAAGCGATTGTCAGATACATCACGAGTGAAATATCGAAAGGATCATATTATGCGATACCTGCAGTACCACCTGGGTTGCGGTGAAATGCGGTCAGTCCGAGCATGTCTATCAGGCTGTGCATATGTGAACGCACTTTGTGCATAGTTTTCAAATCAGCAAGGTAAGTTTGCGTCTCGGGTAATTCGCGAGTCTCATGCAGCACCTGCCGGTCGCGAGTACTTCTCCAATGAGGGTCCATTGCCAGTCTCCATTGACGACACGCTCTCACCGCTGCGGTAGCGTGGGCTACTTGCGCCATCAGTGGCCCGACTCCCCAGCCTTCAGCCTAGGACACACCACGAGTATCAAAAACAGATCGGTCGGTCAATGACGACCTCATGCTACTAGTAGGTTTGTGAACGCTACTGACATCGAGCAGGTCTCTCCGGACTACTAGCTGCATGTATAAAGGCCCAGCGGCAGTATTATCTCCACCGGTCGGAGTTCCCGCCAGTTGAACATTCGACGTGGATCCTGGCAATATAGTTGTGTTCGACATTCCTATGTTCTTTGAGTGAGAAGTGGCGGCCTTTGTGACGGCCAATAAGTGCTTTCCCGAGCGACAGAATATTTTGAATAGTTACAAGGACAGAATCTTCCCGCCAGCCTTTAGACGCACGGAGATCTACAGGCGCCTACTGGCTTCAGCGCTTACAATTCGAGCAGCGACCAACAAGGTACAATATTGATTATCTACCCTCCGGGAGGGCTTATGAGTGCTTAGGGCAGCTCGGGGCGGGCTATATGCGGCTCGGCCCGGCCGTGGACCGCACTATTTGCGTGGCACGCGGTGCACCAGCCATGAATGCATGAAGTACGGGCAGACCGTGCGCGGGGTAAACATTGCATGCAGATGTGCGGTGCAGAATCAGGTTGACCAGATTTTGGAGATGCTACAAAGGCCTGGGAAGCAGGCTATTCGGGTACTGATTGGATCAGTGGTTCCGGACGCTGTCACAGAGGCTGCGGATAACAGTCATACGCGCCCCGTTCCGACTTAGATCTGCCATATGCACCTTGTCACTACGCCCCAAGCTCGACGCACATAATTCGCGTCGACATTCAGGTAAGTGTCCCCAATCGCCAGGGACTCAGTTATGTCTTTGGGTGACAATGACCAATATCTCAGAGCCACTACGCCGCACACATCAGCTCTCACAGCAAAGCATTCAAATTGGGCCGGCGCTACTCGCATTGATACCTTCTGACTTCAGTTTGACATGACCCTCAAGTGGGATAATTGGTGGATGGTCTTCGCTCTACTTAAGAAAGAAGGCGAATACGACACCATTGCAACATGCACTGCCGTGTGCAAGTCTTGGCGGGACATAGGATGGATGCATCTGCCACGATCAGCGATGTTCAGCAGCGACGAAGAGGTGGCGCACATCAAAGTCGCATATGAACACCGGGAGTGTTGGCGTGGGCCATTGCATGTCCACGTTCGGGGACAGGATGGCAAGGGGCGTGGGTCCATCGCCCACTTGGGAACGTTCGCTGCTCGCTTTGGAGGGACGTGGACCCACACCGTTGAACTAACTATCTCGGCGGCAAACTGGCATAGGCAGGATCTCGATTCAGACATCATCTTCCACAATCTCTCTCGATTCCATTCCATTTCTGGCCTCACTCTCTCTGACGTCAGTTTTTCCTCCATTCTGTCATTCTGCCGCCTTGTCTGTAACCTGCCAGGCCTCAAGAGGCTCAGTCTGACTGATATTGCCCTCTCAGGCCAAGGTGCCTGTGACTATAAGACCATCTCAGACTTCCGCCTACTCCCCAGTACCAATGTGGAAGAGCTCGTTCTCGATATTTCCCCCACGGTTCAGCCATTTCCACTCCTCGAGATACTTGATTTCTTCGCAGTCGTCGCGCTCAGTCATCGCACCTCTGCAGCAAAACACATCGTCCCTGCGGCCTTATTCTGGGGCAAGGTGCAGTCTCTCGACATCAAAAGCATGGGTATATTCCCATCTGTCACCGCAATTTGTCGCGTTCTGTCCACATTTCCCGCTCTTCAGCGACTCCAGTACTGTCCATCTTTCCCTTTGAACCATAGGTCGGAGCCTTATAGGGTTCCTCGCAATCCCTTGCCGCGTGTAGCGTCCCTTCGTTTGGTTTCGAGACCTGGAGTTTCGCCCTCCTTCGACGCTTTGCTCGACGTTTTCATTACTACGGCTTCCGTCTCCCAATTATCCGAATTACACAGCATTATCTCTCCTTATTTTGTCATTCAAACGGCGAGGGATCATGCCCTGCACAAATTGACCAAACACGTCGGCGCATCACTTCATACGCTGCATTTGCATGCTGCTCTGCCATCTCAACTACCATGCCATATATCAGGTACGACTCTGTTCTGGCGTCGAATATCAACTGAGTACACTGATGTATGGGTACCATGTCGACAGGCGACCGCTTCGACATATCTGAGAACACGCAACTCGTACATTTGGCTTTTACGTCCGCTGTTGATACCGAGCATGTGCTGGGGCTGTGCAATTCACTTCACGACATGTTGTCCAGCGTCACGTCAGCTCGCATATCAAAGATCGAAATCGACTTCGCATTCGACGTGATCACATATAGCGCAGCAGTGGAAAGATTATGCGAAGGCGAGGATGGTCTTGCCCGAATCGATGTGATCCTATCGACGCCTGTCTTCGAGGCTCTCGCAGAGGTCGTCATCAGTTACAGCTACAATCGGCAACACGCGGAGTGGATATCACCTATCTTGCATGTGCAATCTGCGCAGCAAGCTCCTGCCATGGCCTCACACTCTATGGACAAGTATGTCTCCATATAATGCACAAATTGAAACAAGAATGGACTGACTACTTTGCTAGTATATATAGACGGAGATCTAGTGTTCAGTCTAGACCCCTTCCCAGGGCTAGAGATTGGGACAAGTCTACCAAGCACGCATCCTCCTCAATGGCACAGTTACCTCCAGCTTTTAAGTCACCTCCAGCTCTTCACTTTCCCCAATCAATCCGTCCAGCTCTTGCATCGTCTGGCCCTCCACCGCTCCCGTCGCCTCTGGCACCCTCTGCTGGCCCGTCTTCGCTTCCACCGCCTCCGTCACTTGACGTGGGTCCTAAAAAACAAGCACTCTCGTATGTGCCGCTGGAGGATCGCATGAAAGCTCGTCTGCCAAAAATGCACAGACGAGGCATCCTACTGTGCGTCTTCTCATTTGCCATACAGTCATGTTCTGATCAGTTTTTTTGTAACAGCGTGGAGCACAAATGGCGATAGTCACTAGTGCTGGTTTTGCACCTGCGCTTGGTGATCCATTTCAGTCTATCTGAGGGATATCCGTGCTGTAGATATTGATGATTTTCCGCAATGTACTGGGTCCGCAAAAATTCCTCTGTTGTAATGTTTTTTGGTCAATGTTTTGGTGCACAATATTCAACGAATACCGTAGCTCATGTTCGAACAACGATTGTGTCATATATCTGCTGCCATATTAGGAGCTTCGACTATACAGCGTTTGTCAATGGCCTTCTTTCGATATTCGGAAGCCAGGTAGTTATCTTTAATCGACGCCGTCTTAGGCTTGAGATCACGCGAGGTGAGCGAGTCTCGACGCCCTCGATGGCTTGCGCCCACCGGGGCGCCAGCAAAAATACACATTGTGTACAGTGTGGGCACCGAACGAAAAAGGGGGCACATCGCGCTGCAAAAGCAATGTACTGGGCGAGAAGGAGGGCGACCGAGCAGCGGCTGGCGAAACAAACGACGAGGTTAGAGAGAAGGGGATCCCCGTTCTTGTTCTCTGTGTCTGCGTTGTATATCAAGACGCCGCTCAGAGAGCCGCGCGCGCTCGCCCTGTGGGAAGGCCGAGATAGTGCTCATGGATCAGACTTCTGTAAACAATCTCTTAAATTCGTACATCTCATATTCGGAGAGCGGACATCTTAGATTGCCCCCAGTGATAGTTTCCACGGGCAGACACTCACATGCGGGGCTTCGCGACGGCTTCCATGTCGTTGCGCTAGTTTGTTGTCCCCTTTGGTGCAATCAGACCTTTTTCAATTGGCTCAATGTCGTATTTTGTCCAACGGTGCCCGCCACAAGTTTAAGCCAACAATCATGCTCTTGTATGCCTCAAATACCGAAGCTGCTGTGCTAGATTATTGTCTTTCAGTGCGCGGGACCGCAACTGTGCCATGAGTGATCGCTGCGATCGCGATTGCTGTCTTTGAGGATATTACCAACATGAAGACTTCAGACCTCCGACCACAGGCTCTGCAAACAGCGGCTAGTATTGACACCGAAGAACACACTCATCACTATTTCCATTTTCCAAAACGAGTCGAGCTGCGTAGCGCGAGGGTACACAACGAACGAACGCCCTGCTTCCGTGATTTGCGAGCACACACCCTACCAGGCTCTTCGCTACGTCGGCAACTACTCAAAACGGCACCACAGCAGGCAGCCCCTCGATCATGCTGCTGACAACAGCGCCGCCCTTGATGACGGCGAACAGGTGGTCCTCCGGATAGTCCAGCACGGTGACGTCCGCGAGCGGGTTGGCGTCCAGGATGAGGAGGTCGGCGTACCCGCCCACAGCGACGCGGCCGATCTTCGCATTCCCGAGCATCGCCGCTGTACGCATGAGTTTCGTCGCGTCAGCCGGAGACCCGCGCGGGAGACTGGAAACTGGGAACTGGGAACTGACCAGCGTTGCTCGTCGCGTGCTGCAGCACCTTCGGAGAGGGCAGGACCGACGCGCGGACTGTGAACTAGAGCACCCGTCGAATATGACATCAAGAGCAGATGGCACAGGGTGGAGACGCACCTCTTCCGTCTGCAGCGCCTGCAGGCTGTTCAGCAGATCCGACCCGCTATATGCGTCCGTCAGCGCTGCGTTAAGTAAAACGATATCAGTTGCCCGCACTAGCATATAGTGACGCCCGCGGCGTCCGCGACCTTGAGCGCATCCAGGCCCTTCGACATGACCTGCTCGTTCTTGATCTTCCCTTCCGGCGGGAGGTAGTCCTCGAAGGGCGGGCGGACCATGATGCCGTAGCACGAGAGCGTCGGGGTGAGGAAGATGCCCTTCTCCGCCATGCTGCAGAACGTCCGATGTGAGTCTCGTGTTCAGACGAAGGAGAAGGGGAGTCGGGGGAACGTACAGCTGAGCGGTTTGAGGACTGATCAGGTTCCCGTGTTCGATACCCATGACGCCGTTCTCGATCGCGTGGCGCACGGCCTCGTCGGTATACGCGTGCGCCGTCACTGCGCCGTCGTGCGTCCCGTGAGTACCCGACTTGGGAAGAGAGCGCATACACCCACCGATCTTCCCGCCCATCTGCCGGCACGTCGTTGTGATCGCGCGCAGCTCCTCCGCGGTGAACTGCACCGTCTCTATGGCGTCCTATATCTCGAGTGAGTCAGCGCATCTACCCCTCTAGTGACCAGATTGCGGACATACCGTAGGAGAAGCGACGCCCCCGCCACAGTGCACCTTGATGAAGTCCGCGCCCCCTCGGAGTTCCTCGCGTACCGCCTTCAGGACCTCTGGCACGCCGTCGCATACGCGCCCAAGAGAATGGCCGTGTCCGCCCCCACAGCAGCTCGCTCCGATGTCGCCGTGGCCGCCTGCGTTCCACATTGCACATTACATGTGTGGTCAGACATATCGCTGCTCCACGCTCACCTGTCTGCGACAGACCCCTGCCACACTGGATGATCCTGGGCCCTAGAATAAGACCCTCCTCGACGGCGTCGGCTAATGCCTTGCTGGCACCGCCTGCGTTCCGGAGCATGAGCAAGGTGCAAATAAACGCGTGAACGGCAGAGCCTACCCGTGTCCCTCACGGTCGTGAACCCACGCAGAAGCATCTCTTTTGGGGCCGCGAGTGAGCTGTCTGCTGTGGGAGGAACGAAAGCTACAAACCTCGCAGGACATACGTCGACTGCAGGTGCACGGACTCCTGGGGGACCCGCGCAAGTTCTGATAGCGACCGCACTCCAGGCGTTGCGGTAATGTGCACATGGCAGTCAATAAGGCCTCTATACTAGAACATCAGCACATCTCCTTGCGAGTTGCTGCCTCGAGACGAGACTCACGGACAAATGAACGCCCCATTTAAGTCTATAGCTGTGACTGTCTCATCGAACAAAACATGAACGGCGGATGTGCTGGGCGTGATAGACTGTACGAAGCCGTCCCGCGTGCACACATCGTACGTTCCAAGCAATATGACCGCCTGCCCCGGGTCCACAATCCTGACATTCCATAACTCAAGCGGGGGTGGCGGTGTATTCTTGATCCACGGTTTCAGAACCAGCTTCTCAAGGCTGCCGTGAGAAGTGAGATGAAAACGCAAGGAGGATCGTCACGATCGCTGATCAGACTCACAGGCTATCCCTGGTTTTCTCCGGTGAGCCTGGATACGAGGACCGGTGCGTCATGATGGCTAGCCGTGTGCAACAATGAGGAAATCGACGACGAGAGTCATGTTAACCCCCATGACCCTGAGTGAAGCCTCTCGGAGTCCCGGTCTCCGTTGAGTGTCCGGGACTTATCTCGACCTGCCGGTATTATGATAATCAGTAGGATCGACATAGGGGCCCGCTGCGCAGAGACAGAAATGTTTCGCAGAGTTTGGAATAGAAATTGGAGCGGAGCAGAATAAAGCATGAAGTTGCACGCAAAACGCGTCGGGCAAAGAGGAATGATTGGTGGCGGCGGGCGGTGATCGACACGAAGAGGCGCCGAACAGGGACTGACCCACATCAGCAAAAAGGAACGCATTATGTATGGCCATGCATGTACTCGTATGGCCTTGTAAGGTCCGGCCAGCTTACGAGAGACCGCTATTGTTTTACAGTCTTGTATTGCCATGATGATAAATCAGCGGGGTGATGTAAGAGCCAAAATAGGTAGCTAGGCCCATATGACTATCGAGAGCATGCAAGGCTGGCGAGGCTAGCAGCCTACGCCATGTCATGCATGCTATGGTATTATGGTGACTGTTGTATGGGTCTACTGCGATCGCAGTTCTTGTTAGGTATTGCTAGACCGACTAAAGACTGTATGCCTTGCAACCAAAAACCAATCAATCCACGGTGGTATTGGTTCGCTTCCGTGACAGACCAGTCACCCGCAGATGATCGAATCGCAAAATAGTATTATGCATTTTCATTTTAATTATAAAATTACAGTTTATTGTCTATTCTGCATAATAAATCAAATGGCACGAGAAGCATATAGTCGCAAATGAATGGTGGCCTGACCAGGTGCACGAAAAGGCTGCGTCGATGACAATGGAGTGGCGCACGTCCACATTATTGAACTGCCTGACGTGCGGCGTGCTGAGCCTTGAGAAGCGAGAGATCTGACTCCTCGTCATCCGAATCATCGTCGTGTGTCAAGCGATCAGATCCAGTGTAGGAGTTGCCAAAAACTCGTCTAGTGAGAGGTGTCGATGGCGAGAAGTTAAGGGAATGATGTATCAGTTTGTGGGAGGATATGCTAGAGACCACTACGTACCTGTTCCACCAGTCAATGGTTTCCTCGTACCATGTGGAGTGGGCTGCGTCATCGAAGATGGCCAAAATCGTGTAGAAGAAATGTTCCGCGTTGAAGTGTGCATCTTCAACCGACCATTCCTCCTGGGAGTTCAAAAGCTGACGAGCCTTTATGTTCATGAGAAGAATATCTGGCAGCATGAAAATCAGATTATTCGCACCTGAACTGCAGCGTATGCTATACTATACTTTGTTACACTAAGCATTCCAAGGATCTGCGCATTCCAGGGCTTCCCGGCAATGGGCCCGTCAGTGACTTTGAGTGCCGTGCGAGGGCCCGTGAATATGTGTCGGAATACCTGTCAAATAGAGCATTGTGAGAGATAGAAGCAGCGCATCAAGACAAGAACACTCACGCGCACCAGAAAGAAGCCTCGAAACAGGCCTTTGAGAATGTTGTGCGGGTCGTAGCTCTTCTCATCATAAACAAAACTCGGCAGCATGGACGCTCGTATCTTCACCCTGCCCTCAATTATTTTCCTGAGATAGCTGCAGAAACTCACACAATTAGTCAATGATGACGCACAATAAATATCACACACCCTTCGGGATCGGCATCGAAGTCAGCAAGGTGACGTTGAGGAACTAGAAGACGGGAACATTGCTGGTGCTGGAAGCCCCGCTCACTCTTCGACTGCTGCCTCCCGTCAATCACAGGAAAGATAGGTTGTCGCGCTGGGTCGGGGGTGATATACCTTACTCCGGAGTAGCGTAGGTCTCCACAGTCCTGTGTGCGTGCCTTTCGCGAGTGCTCGTCAAGCTGTAGATCGATTCAGGAAGCATGAAAAACAGCCTTCAAATATACTTACAAGTGCACAGAGGTCACCCAGACTTGCTGGCTCGCTCTGAAACTCCGAGATTAATTCTCGCAGGCTAGGAGTATAGTTTAATATCGCATTGTAGACACGTATGAACTCGGATCGCTCTGCTGGCGACCTGTCTAATAAGTCAGCTAGCGCAAAATACTGACTAAAAACGGAATCTCACAGTTGCATATTCTCTTCTTGTTCAGTCATCGACTCTGGCCCATTTCCCGCTCCAACTTCGCTTGTATCAGCGTCGGATTGTCCCTCAGCATGCAGACCGATTTGGAAGGCAGTTAGAATATTGACAAAGGGACTAATTCCACGTGGGATCCATTTCGCAGTCTTGTACAATGCATCGAGCACCCCACTTTGCTCTCTAGAATTGACAAAGGTTTCTGTGAGCCTTACACACCCTCACATTCTGACCACTCACCGAGAATATCGTCGCCTTTTTCTTGAATGACTGTAGATCTGCAGCTCTTCATTTAGGTTGGTCGAACTTCCGCTTCGCAGAACTGACAGGTTCAGGGGTGTAGGTTAGCGGCAAATTACTGGCAGCCGTAGGAGCCATGACAGTAGGTGTATGTACTGAATGTGACATTGGAGGGGGTTTGAGCGGGTTGGCTGCCAGTAGAGACGATCAGCATTTTTATGTGCTTCAGAAAGGTGCTAGAGCGTAAGATCCGAGGCGAGGTGAGTGGCGTCTTACTGATCGAGACCGGCCGATTGGTAATCATGGTCTCGATCGTTGAGGCGCAACTGGTTTCTTAATTTACACTCCCATCCTTTGGGTTTCTGACTGACTGCAACTCTTTCGAAAACTTGGTCATTGTTCTAATGTTTGCTACTAGTGCCAACCAACACCTCATTTCGTCATATTTCATCATTGTGTCCAGGATTTCATGCCGCAGCTTAAAGATCACCTCCTCTCTCGCCTGCTAGACCTTCCTTATGATGGCGAGGAGCATACATTCTCCGATGCAGAGAGCAATACTGTCACCATTATTGGCGGGAAGATATACAAGCATAAGAATTTTCGCATTAACTATACGACCTATGACTTGCGTCGCAGCCAGGACTGTGTCAATCCGCGCAGTGAGGCTCCCGACATCATGGTCCTCGCTCATGAAGACAGCGATCACCCCTATTGGTACGCCCGTGTTCTTGGGGTCTTCCATGCAAACATCTGCCACTCGGGTCTCAGGTCACGCGACCCGTCACCTCAGCATATTGAATTCCTCTTCATACGATGGTTCGGCCGTGATTTAACAACTCGAACAGGATGGAATGCGCGTCGCTTACCGCGAATTGGATTTATTGATGCTGACGAACCCGGTGCATTCGCCTTTCTTGATCCTCGTCACGTTGTTCGAGCAATTCACACTATACCCGCGTTTGCACATGGATTCACGGATGAGTACCTGCGGCCCTCAATCGCAAGGCATCCTCGAGAATGTGATGAGGATTGGGTATATTATTATATTAATATGTAAGCGAACAAATCTATCTACAGATGACATACTACGAACCTGATGCGGAACACATGTATAGCTTTGCTGATCGCGACATGTTCATGCGCTTCCGCGGCGGTGGTATCGGTCACATGGCAATCGCTGAAGTCACTGAACGCCTACTGCAGGAAAGTCATGAAGACATGCAAGATAACCTGGAGGGTCATCCGACAGACAAGCCCTCGATTCCTGATGCTTTGCGCCCGGCCCGGGGTAGAGATCAAGAGTACGCTGATGTGCGCCACTCGGAGGTAGTACTCGGAAATCCTCCAAACACGCTGACCGTGGGGATGCTGTGCCAGGAGGGTCCCAATAATATACAGGCCGAGGAAGCAGACTACGGATATATTGACAATGATGCCGAAGACATAGATGATGGGGGTGAGATTGGGACTGACGACGAAGATGCTTTGGGTCCTGAAGATGGGGAAGACGATGGTGGTGATGATCCCTGCACAGTCGAAGGATACGCATCATTATGAAACTATCAATTTTTGTATTCTTTCTTACCTCGTCATTTCGATTATGGTTCATTGTGCCTTGTATTCCTATCATTTGCGACTTCTCGATATATCTCTACCTCGAGTCTCGCTCCCGGGCCATCTGCCTTGATGATCTGCCTATGTATGTGCTCGCCTGGATCGAAGATTCTGTTACGACCATCCAAAGGGCCGCAAGTATCTTGGAAGGACCTCACGCGAATGGTCCGATCTTCCCAGTCCTCGGATGCCGAACAACAGGCTCGCCATCTTATTGTGAGTGCTTCTATAGGTATTACCAGACTGGTAGTTCCTTATAATATTCAGACAGCAGCTCGATGTCAAACAATACCCCAGCATTCTAGTGACGCCATGGAATGTCTTGCAAGGGCTAATGATGCGCCGACCGTGACGTGCGGGTTTGCATGGGTCACGGGACCTTATTTGCTTCGTACCTTTTTGCTGATGCATTACTTCGTTCTGTACTCACACTTTGCAGACGTTAGCCAGATGCAGCGTTCCCATTACTTTTCCAGAGTATGTACGCCTTGTCAATCATCATATTCATGATTGGTGCAAGGTTGAGCCATGCCAATTTGTAACCGATGGCTATGCCCTGATATTATAGACAGCAGCTCAGCTGTCGCAAATATTAACAATCATATACGCCTTCTGCTTCGACTCAGATCTGCCGTATGCACTACGTCACTTTGCCCCATGCTCGACGCGCATCCTTCGCATCGACATTCATCTGAATAAGCGTCCCTGAGCGGTCATCAAGGGCGAAGATAGACATTTTCAAGCCACAACAGCATCATACAGATCACGGACTAGTCCACACCATTGAGCCGACGCCGGTCGCCATCATATAGATCTCGACCTCACTTTGACATGCTCCGACCTATATCCCTAGATATCTGGTGGTTAGTGTTCGCTCTACTTGCGAAAGAAGGCGAATACGACACTATAGCAACATGCATTGCCGTGTGCAAATCTTGGCGGGACATAGGATGGAGGCATTTACCGCGATCAGTGATGTTCAGGAGCGACGAAGAGGTGGCACGCATTAAAGACGTATATGAACACCGGGGGCGTTGGCGTGGACCCGTGTATGTGCACGCTCGGGGACAGCACGGCAAACGACGGCGGTGCGTCACTCACTTGGGAACGTTCGCTGCTCGCTTTGGAGAAACATGGACCCACACCGCTAATCTAGATATCGTGGCGGCAGACTGGCATAGGCAGGATCTCGATTCAGACACCATCTTCCACAATCTCTCTCGATTCCATTCCATTTCACACCTCGCTCTCTCTGATGTCAGATTTTCCTCTATTCTGTCATTCTGCCGCCTCGTTTGTAGCTTGCCGGGCCTCAGGAAGCTCAGTCTGACCGATATTGCCCTCTCAGGTCAAGGTGCGTGCGACTACAGGACCATCTCGGACTGCCGTCGACTGCCGAGTACCAATGCGAAGGAGCTCGTTCTCGGTGTTTCCCCATTGGCTCAGCCATTCCTCGAAATACTCGACTTCTTCGTTGTCGTCGCACACAGTCATCGCAGCTCCAATGCGGCCGAACGTATCGTCCCTGCGGCCTTGTTCTAGGTCAAGGTACAATCACTCGACATCAAGACCATGGGTATATTCCCATCTTCCACCGCATTTGGTCGCATTCTATCCATATTTCCCGCTCTACAGCGACTTCAATACCGCCAAGGCACATCGTTCCCTTTCAACCATAGGCTGCAGCCTCGTAGCGTCTCTCGCGATCCCTTGCCGCGTATATCATCCCTTCGTTTAGTTCCGAATTCTGGGACCTCGCCCTTCTTTGATGGTTTGCTCGAGTTTCTCAATACTACGACTGCCATATCCCATCTATCCGAATTACACGGCAATCTTTCTCCTCATCTTCTCGTCCAAACGGAGGAGGATTATGCCCTGCACAAATTGACGAAATATATCGGTGCATCACTCCGTACGCTGCATTTGCATGCTGCTCTCCCATCTCAGTCATTGTGCCATATATCAGGTATGTCCTTGTTCTAGCGTTGAGTATTAGTAGAGCACACTGATGTATCGTAGTCATGTCGACAGGCGATCGCTTCGACATATCTGAGAACACGCAACTCGTACATTTGGCCCTCACCTCTGCTGTTAATGACGAACATGTGCTGGGGCTGTGCAATGCTCTTCATGATATTTTATCCAGCGTCACGTCGGCTCGCATAACAAAGGTAGAAATCGATTTCAAGATCGATGATGTTACGTATGATGCCGTAGTGGAAAGACTGCGCATAGTCGAAGATGGCCTTGCCCGAATTGACGCAATGCTATCGACGCCTATCTTCGGGGCTCTTACAGAGGTCGTGATTGGTTACAACTACACTGCGCAACCTGCAGTGCCACGAGCTGCTCGTCACTCACGCCGCCGTGAGAGGTACGTCTCCATAAAATACACAAATTGAAAGCAAGAATGGACTGAATGGACGTACCTTACTCCCACACACAGGGAGAAGGATATGGAGAAGGCTATTGTTACTAGACCCCGTCGCAGGACTATATCTGGGTCTGCCCTATCCATCTATAGATCCGCCAACCACGCATCCTCCTCGAAACCAGTCCTACCTGCAGCGCTTCCACCTGTGCCAATCCGTCCAGCTCCTGCATCGTCTGGCCCTCCACTGCCTCCGCGTGCACTGCGTTCTGACTCTTCGTCTATCTCTATGGCTCGACGACAAACATTTCCACTCTCCGGCGGGCCGTCTCCACTGCAACAACCTCAATCACTTGACGTGGACGCTCAACAACAAGCACCGTCGCATACGCCGCTGGAGGATCGCGTCAGAGCCTGCTTGCCAAAATTGCACAGACGAGGCATCCTACTGTTCGTCTTCTCAGTTGCCATACAGTAACAACGTTTTAATCAGTGTTTCATGAAAGTGTGGGCCCAAAATGGTCGATTACTCTGCTCTCTGGGTGAGCTGTCTCTGCGCTGTCTGTCCGAGCGCACAGAACAATCCTCGCAAGCCGACGAAGACTGTGATTGTCCTAGAATGTGTAAACCTTGGATCCTTGTGTATTTTCTGACTGCAAGCTGAATAAACCACAAATTCATCTCATCATGTTCAGTCTTCATCTATTCTAGAGATGTAACCTGAGATGACTTGCTCAGGGTGCAAACATGCCTTGGGCTGAAAGACTCGTGTCGATGATGGCTGGACTTCGCGGCTCTCCTAGATGTTGTCTACTATATATAACAAAATTCGGCCTCGCAATTCATTCCTGCACCTGAAATTGCGGGAATGATTTGTAGTTTAGATATCTATCTGCAATTTGTTGAGCACAAAATGTCTTGTACTTCTCAGTAAGAGCGCCCGGTTCTCGTATTAGGCAGAGTAGTTTACTCGTGTTGAGATGAGTGGCACCAGTAAGCGCCAGTGGCTGAATAAAGCGGGAGGGACCTGTGGCGTTGTTGCACTCCCTTTGACCACCAACTACTACCTAGCTCCCAACGCTTTCACCACAACGCCTCAATCATCAATCACTTTCTTTGTTCATACACAATGTCGAAGCTCACTCGCTCAACGCTGGACCTTAAAGACACTCAACAGGGACCCGCCGCGGTCGAGGGCGACCATCTTGTGGCCGGCGCCTCCTGTTCCGCTTGCACGCCGGGATTAGATATGGATTGTAAATGCATCTCTTAGTTTTCTGCAGCGATCCGTCGCTGATTTACCATTGCACACAGCTGCCCATAGCTTCTCACAAAGACAAAACCAACCTGGGGACACTTCCCCGTCCTCGCCACCGGGACGCGGACGTCCCGTACAGGAACATGCTCTCGATTCCAACCCGCCTTCGCCGCTCTCTGCAGCTCTTCTTTCAAAGAGAACCCCTCGAACCCTTTCAGCGGACTCTTACCCATCTGCGCCCCTGTTGCAGCAGGCTCAACCCGACCACGCGTGCGCACCTTTCGGAAGCCTTATACGATACACATACCCCATCGAGCCGCCGCTAGACAGCAGTGACCCCAAATGGCTTGAGCAAATGTTCCAGCAGAGGCACACAGAGCAACGCTTCGTTGGGGACGACATCCTTGCAACCGAGTCGATCTTCGGTGATGTGGCGCGCGAATTGCGCATTGCGGAGATACAACTCGAACAGGAGCGGAAGCTCTCGCAAGTTGCTGTCAAGCTGCTTGGCAGGTTAGCGGGCGCCCAATTCGATGTATATATGAACCAGCGTGTGGCGGCGGGTGATGGCAACCTGTCAGAGGAAAGCGACATCGGCAGTCATAAGCCCCGCCAGACTAGGGACAATGACTTCCCTCACATCACTACACCGAAAAAGCGTCCCCAAGAGGACGGGAACGACAATGGCGGTGGAAGCAGCAGCGATGAGGAGGGAAACGGCGGTGGTCGCAAGATCCGCCGCGACAACAAGCGTCAACGACTAGCGCTCAAGCCAGAGTCGGCGGTAGTGTCGGCAGAAGAGCCCAGGGACGACATCAAAACCCAGTAGAATGCAGCGCGGATGCAGAAAATGTGGGGCATGAGCCCGTCTGCTGTGCGTGCTGCAGAACGCCAGATCGTCGGCTTGAACCCCATCCACGATGACGTAGACGAAGCCTGAAGTCGCTAGCGCGGCTTCCATGCAAATAGTCGACGACGAGCGCCATGAGCCGGTACTCGGGGTTTTCGTGGTGCAACCGGCACCTCGTACAGTAACTCCGCCTTTCTGGCACGCAGACCAGGGAAAGACGAGTTCGCCTTGCCACCTTAGCCACTGTTTGTTTATGCGCAGATGTAGAGCCTCGTAAGCTTGTTGTCATACGTACAGAATGAAAATTACCGACCCTGGCTTCAACTGGGACATATGAAGTGTGTTATAGCTGCAGCTACAACATCTCGCGCGGTTGATAACTTTAGGTATCAGGTCAATCTCTCCATCTCCATATGGCATACGATTTCATCGCCTACCGTATAGTATCACAGCAAGTGAGCGAGGAAGTCATGAGCTGTCCGTGTTCATCGATGCTATTGTATGGCATTGCTACCTGGTGTCGTAGACGTTTCGCTCTCCATTAACGCCGTTATCGTATGACGTGATCACCAAGCCTCGGCGAGCCAAACTAAGCGATCTGCTAAGATGAGTCATGAAGATGCGGCCCAGTTTATTTTGGATGTCTTCTAGCATGAGAAGGGTCAACGTCAATGGCTCATGGCGCGACTTGGAGGCGCTCCCTATTCAGGCGGCCTGTGATGCTGTTACGGCGCCTTCCAAGCATCCTAAAGAGCACAAATTAGCGACATTGTTTGGTTTTTGCTTGGTACGCTCCCAGGACCAAGTATAATAAGGACATTGGTCCCAGGAATGAAGATGGACGAAACGGCGCCGAGCAGTACAAAACAAGTCTAGTCGCAACAGATTCGCAATTAAATGGGTGAAAGCGGCCACTCACGTCCATTCATGTGCGGAATCTCATAGTGCTGCATCTGCCATAGTATGTAATCATCATTAGCCGCGGTCTCTTTCAACGATTTGGGCGTACCCGTCGAGGCCGACTTGTATTGTCTCGACATCAAGTGACAACACCTACGAAGGCGTTATCTGCAGGGATGGTCAGAAATTCCTGCATCGACGATCCGCCTTCGCGCGCACGCTGAGAATTCTGATTATCTGGATAATATGAGCGGTCATCACTGTCTAACATGCCCAGAGCAATAGGCACATATGTCAAACCTTTCGACGAGATCACCGCTTACTGGCGTCGGGGAGCACACATTTCAGCGCTCGCCTCTCCATTGCAACTTTTCCCCAGTCCGTCTGGTCGGGAAGCCAGATGCCAAGTCTGTTCGGGCACGCACAATAACGAGGGAATGGTATGCCGGCTTATTTTTCCGACCAGAATAAGCAGGTCACGAGCATCAGGAGCGTCCGGCATGCCAGATCTACGTTCTAATCCTATGTTATGGGTGTCCTGATCCTTGTCTTTACCGGCCCGCCGTCTTACGAAGACATTCAGCCGGCCGGCCTCCGCGCTAAGGACCGTGCAGGGTATGTAAAAGCACGCCCATAAAGACAGGAAGATGCATGCGTCTGCCAGTGCTCAACCTAGGTCGCTCGTCACTCACCATAATGTACTCCAGCCTGATTATTCTCTTACTCGCGGCCGTGAATGGAATCGCTGCCATCCCTGTTCCTCAGACGATCACCACTAGTGAGATAGGAGGGATAAGCACCACTAGTGAAATCGGGGGAACAAGCACCACGAGTGAGATGTTCCATAGCGTTCAAGGAAGAATGGCGTTAACCACGTGATTTTAGTTTCAGGCGTCGACTTTGCTGTAGAGACACGTAAGCCAATAATTGCATTACAGCATTGGAGATCAGAAAGATTCATAGAGTTTTAAGATGCTATTCTCAACTGAAAACTGTCCGCTGGTGTAGTGCCGAGTGGAGGCGCTGGCGGTCAATACGTCGCCGGTCGATTTTGTATCATCACAAACCTTCGTAATTCACCCATTCTTCGAACCTATAGAATGTACCGCAATTGGTAGAGGATGCTTCACATGTACTAGTTATGCTCTTGACTGAATTATGCACCCGGATCATTAAAGCCGTAGGATGCGTTTGGAGATAGCTAATATTGCCAGCACACCTGCTTGCGAACAAAATGCTTACGAACTTGAATCAGCAATGGCATCTGGAGCACATGGTCATTAGAACACACCCTGAAGACTTTGCGGCGAGATCAGTCATACTTGACATACCTCACACTTCTGTCCACACACCCCAAGTCACAAGACGACACCCATCACGCGAAAAAGTCCGGTAGAAAGCAATGCTGAGCGGGGTGATCGATTGTTCAATACTACATACTACGGAGGGACTGAATATGCAAACGTGATCATAAAGTAGCAAATGAGTACCATTACTTTTCATGCTCTATGATGGGGGTCGTAACGAGAGGACGCTGAGACAAGGAGGTCAAAGCAAATGCAAGTGCATGACAGCAGACGACGAGAGTGCGTGTGAGGATTAGACAAGGATCAGCAATCAGTAAGAGGACGGAAGGTAGAAGACCGCAACACGTTTAATCCTTCTTCTCCTCATCCTTCTTCTCTGACGCAGACTCGTTCGCCGCGTTCTCAGCGTTGCGCTTCTCGTAGACCTTCTGGAAGAGGCCGAGCGACGCCTGCTGGGTCTCGTTGACCTTCTCCCTGATGGTGTCGGCAGTAATTGATTCGTCACCGGCCTGGCCCTTTACAGCGAGTTCTCGGAGCTCCGCAACAAGCTTCGCGACCTTCTCCTTCTCAGTAGCATCGAGTTGTTCCTTGAACTCATTCATCGCTACCGAAACAAGTCAACACACAAGTGACAGACCAGCTGCATGCGGGCTTACCCTTCTCAGTGTCAGAGCAGACGGAGTCAGCCTTGTTGGCCTCCTCGATAACCTGCTTGCGCGCCTTATCCGTCTCGGCGTACTGCTCAGACTCAGAAACCATGCGCTCGATGTCCTTGTCGCTGAGACCGGAGGACGACGCAATCGTCATCGATTGGTCTTTGCTGGTCGCTTTGTCGCGGGCGTTGACGTGAACAATACCGTCTGAAGGTGTATTAGCACATTCTACATTATTACGAAAGTGAAATCCATACCAGCGTCGATGTCGAACGTGATGTCAATCTGCGGAACACCCTTCGGCGCCGGCGGGATGCCGGTGAGGTTGAAGTTGCCGAGAAGCTTGTTGTCCCGGACGAGCTCACGCTCACCCTGGTAGACCTTGACCTCAATGGCAGTCTGACCGTCCGCAGCCGTCGAGAACGTCTGAGTCTTCTTCGTCGGGATGGTCGTGTTGCGCTGGATGAGCTTGGTCATGATACCACCAAGAGTCTCGATACCTGAGGAGCAGGGTCAGAAAACCGTGAGCGATATTAATCACATATGCACTTACCGAGTGACAGAGGAGTGACATCGAGGAGGAGGATGTCGGTGACATTGCCGGCCAAGACACCACCCTGAATGGAGGCACCGATGGCGACAGCCTCGTCAGGGTTAACACCCTTGCTGGGCTCGCGACCAAAGATCGTCTTGACGGTGTCGACTACGCGAGGCATACGCGACATACCACCAACGAGAATGACCTCGTTGATATCGCTGGCCTTTACACCGGCATCTGACAGCGCCTTCTTGCACGGGTCAACTGTGCGCTGGATGAGGGGCTGGACGAGCGACTCGAACTGCGAACGCAAAATCTTAAGATTGATGTGCTTTGGTCCGGAAGCATCGGCAGTGATGAACGGCAGATTAATCTCCGTCTGGGACGTCGACGAGAGTTCGATCTTCGCCTTCTCAGCAGCCTCACGGATACGCTGGATAGCCATGGGGTCGCTACTCAGGTCCATGTTTGATTCCTTCTTGAACTCGTTTAGGATGTGTTGAACAAGAACAATGTCGAAATCCTCACCACCAAGGTGGGTATCACCATTGGTGGATTTGACCTCGAACACACCCTTCTGCATCTCGAGGATAGAGATATCGAAGGTACCACCGCCAAGATCGTAGACAGCGATGACAGCATTGTCCGCTCGGTCAAGACCATATGCAAGTGCAGCCGCTGTCGGCTCATTGATTACTCGCAATACGTCAAGGCCTGCAATTTGACCCGCATCCTTTGTTGCTTGCCGCTGAGCGTCGTTGAAGTATGCAGGAACGGTGACGACAGCGTGGCTAAACATTGATCAACATCAAGCAGCAATATACACGCGCCGAGGGTGTAGACTCACTTTACTTTCTTGTTGAGGTACTGTTCCGCAGTTTCCCTCATCTTGACAAGGACCATGGACGACAACTCTTCTGATGACTACAAGTCTGTCAACCACTGTGCATGTATCTGAACAATGATGCGAGCTTACAAAGAGTTGCTTCTTGCCCCCGTTGTCCACCTCGACAGCTGGCCGGTTGTCAGACTTCGCGACAACCTTGAATGGCCTGACCAGAGATAAGTATGATACTTGGTCATGCGTAAGCACGGATGCTTACCAGTGCTCCATGTCTTTCTTCACCTCCGAATCGCCGAATTGCCGACCGATCAGACGCTTGAACGCGAACACGGTGTTTTGCGAGTTCACAACAGCCTGACGCTTCGCAGGCAGTCCGACTAGCCGTTCGCCATGTTTCGTGAAAGCAACGACAGATGGTGTTGTCCGTGCACCCTCGGAGTTCTCGATGACCTTCGAAGTCTTGCCCTCCATGACAGCGACGCAAGAGTTCGTGGTACCCAAGTCAATACCGACGACGGGGCCTGAATAATATGCCACTATTGAGCATCCCAGAGGATACCTGAAAGACACGTATACCCACCATTGACTTTCGAGTTCATGTTCCTCGCGATCATAGACCGCGGAAGACCCTGTCCATTAAGGTTAGTTGTGCCTATACTGTGCCCCGACGACTGCACATACGGCATAGTTGCCAGTGCGGGCAACGGAACGAAGAGAACGGGCAGCGGTGAACATGGTGAAGGAGGATGGGAGGAGAGGTGAGAAAGCACTCGGCTTTCGCGCACTCCAAAATTTGAATGCGTAATATTACGTAACATGCCCGGCTTTCGCCGTAGTTATGAGCTGGCAATCTGGAACGTTCCGGAACCTAGCCCTTATATATTTACCTACTCACATTCGTTGACGATTACCTACAATTTATTATTACATCCTTTGCAGATAGCATTCGCTTCTAACGTTATCGTGCAGTAATTCCACCTCTCTTATTCGCTTACAGGTTCGGGTACCATCTGTCTCCAGCGACATTAGCCGGGCCGACTTCAATGCAACTTTGCTATCGCATTGCTACATGCTTGTCGGCTTGCTCCGATTACTAACGGTGTGCAGTGACATGTGGAGACCGTCCCGCTCAGGAATACGTATACAGATTAGATACAAGTACTTCATGAGTCGACGTGCTTGTGCTGCGTGGACAAAATGTCAGATTTCTGCGCGCCTATCTTTACCATGACAGACGGCAGAAACCTATACATGGCAAGCGACGCAGGAGAGCGCAAGGGTACTTTATGCGGGGGATCTCAAGCCCTCAAGCAGCTTTCATGACAAATGTAACCGAGCCCCATGGAGCTCTAGCACACACTATAAGGCCGTTTATATCACCAGCCTCGGCAAACCTGAAGCCGTCAAAATTGATAATGTGAATGTTCGGAGGAGCCTTCGCCGCCTAGGATTGAGTCAACTGCCAGGACAGGGCAGAAGTACACTGCTAATGCACCAATAAGATTGTCTGGATTCATATACGGAATGAAATAAGGAGGCTAGTCATGCCCTTATGGTCCAGCCCCGCAAGCTGCCAGTAAGCTGTAGCAGAATTGTCAGGTTACAATCTTGCCTTCTCCTTCTCGGCATCCTCTATCGCACCCCACGCAAGGTGTCCCAGGAGCGGGAATACATCACGGTACATAAAAGCCTTCTCGGAGCTCGCCTGCCTTCGCGCATAGCGTGCAGCAACGCCCTGCGCGATAACGGCAAGCTGTATAACGGGACTCACGTTAGTCTCTGCATCCGACATGGGACACAAACACCTACTCGAAACAACATCCAGCTTCGCGCAAAGCTCATCTCCTTGATCGGATACGGCTGCTTCGTGAGCCGACAGTACTCCCGCTCGAGGACCTTCAGCTCAACAGGAGCTGCCTCGGCATTATTCTTGAAGCCGACAAGCCCTGATGACTTCATATGTGGCGGCAGCACCTTCGGGTCGATTGACCACGGCTGCGTCAGGTTCGCAAGGTCTGCAAGCTGCGAATAGCCATAATCAGTTTACATTATTACAAACCGTCGTAAGGCTTACCGGACTGCCTAGCGTGCATAACTCCCAATCCAAGATACCGATCACGCGGTTCTCCGTGGGATGGAAGATCATGTTGTCCAGCTTGTAGTCCCCGTGGACGACGCGCAGGCCTGTCTTGTTCTCGTCCGGCAGATTACTCTCGTACCACGTCATAAGATCGTTGTAACGCGGGATGCTGCCCGTCGGCTTGCCCGACTCGACGTCCACTGCGTCCGCCTGCGAGCGAGATACGCGCGTCAGGGACTTGATTTGTCGTGGAAAATAGGGCGTCGACGGGCCAAAATTTGACAACCCAATCGCTGCTGGGGATAGGGAGGACAGCGCCGCGAGAGCACGTATCGCCGCGAGCCAGCTATCGGCGGTGTACGATTAGTCCACAAGAGTGCAAAGTACTGCGACAGCAACACACCATTCTCGGCGTGTCTCTGGAGAGACCTCGGGCATCCTGACGTCCGTGAATATCCGTCCTTCGAGGAATTCCATGATATAGAACGGTGTTCCAATGACTGCGATATCCTCGCACAGGATCAGAGGTTCCGGTATTGGCACCTTGTTTTCCCCGGACGTCGATGAATTCGTGTTGTGCTTATGCAGTGCATTCAAGACAATGAACTCCCTCTCAATCTGGTGGGCAGTTGTCGAGAGCAATTGTCCGGCAGGCTTCTTGCGGAGGACGAACCGCTTGCCTCTGCATAGCATAATTCGACCCAAAGTGCATACACGTAAGATGAGACATACCCTTTGGCCGTCAAGAAATACGTCGGGTTCGACTAGACTTGTCCTCAGCCCCTCTCTAGGCCCTATGCTTTATAGTACAATATAACATACCTGTCCAAACTATAGCACTCAAGCCGTTTACCATCTCCTCCCTCGTGTGCAGGGTGAGACGGCGCTCACCTTGAATTGCTTCACGTCCACTGGCGTCCGGACAGCCTTCACATGCTCAGTCAAGTACACATTCAACTTGTCGATGTCGATGCCCGCGCGAATAGGCCCGTATTCACCACCAATCTTCCCCGCTGTCGACATGGCGGTCACTGGTCGAGGTTGGCGTCAAACATGCTCGATTTCGTGGAAGAGATCATGGTGGCGGTCCCGGTGATTTCACCCCACGGGGTCGGGTATCTGTTGATGGCGGCAGTAAAATCACGCTCCTTGAACTCGCAGATAGAGATATTGATAAGTATATATGTGATGTAGCATAGGCTACATTCTATGCTCTACTAAGTATCAGAGGCAGGATAGAACATTATCATGGTTCGAGGACCACAATTTTCCCATTAGTGCAAGACCAATAGAAGATCTTAGAGGTAGAACAAGCAGCACTACCCGCTACTCAAATCTATATTATCGAATAGGTCTGTCTAGCATGTCTTGGTGAACGTTGAAGTACCTGAAAGCTGAAGGTAAGCCTCGTTCGTAACACCAGGACGACAATACATACCTCGCGACCTTGCCCACTTCTTTGCAAGTACCCGCACCGTTCTCGTCCCATTGTACGATCCACCTACCGACGACATTCCCTTCCTTCGTCATCGTCTCCGCAATCGTCTCTTCCCTCTGCAGCGTGCCCTGACTCTTCGCAAGCGCCACTTCCTCGCTTGATAGTCGGAACGCCTCCGCCAGCTCCCAGGTCGCGAACTGCCGGTTGGTAGGCACCAGGAACGCGGTGTCGTATACGCGCGTGATGCGCTCGTGCAGGGCGAGAGTCAACGTCGTCATCTCCAGCCCGCGCGCCCCGTCGGCAGCAGGTTTGTCCCCGCCCTCAGGCTCAAGCCATCGAAGCGTCGTCACGTACGGCCGGCCGCACCACGCCACCATGAAGGTAGATACGCCGCTTGTCGCCATCGCCACGGCTGCGAGCATAAAGCGGCCCGCAAGAGGGATCGCAGACGTTGTCTCGATCACGAATATGAAGGGCGTCAAGGCGAACGTGAGGGAGAGCGAGGACAGTGAGAATATTTTAAGGCGGCGAAAAGTCATTGTCAGGGGCCCATGGTAGGTCGTGTCTTTGGGGGCGGTCTCTAGAATGCTCGTCACTGGAGACGGCTCCGACACGACCTCCGTCTTTTCTGCGCTGGATGCTGGCGAAGATTGAGAATTTGTGGAGGCAAACCGCCTAGAGTAGGAGGCTAGACGGCTCGCATCTTGTCGAGCAACGACTCGTTCTGCCAGTAGCTTCACACATGCAGGATGTGGAAGATGTCGTGCAGACAGAGTTGGGCGCAGTCGAAGGACATGGCGGAAAGAAAGCATCGTCGCAGACGCGCTCGTCACGCCACCGGCCGCGCGCGTTCAGCCTTTCAGTTCAACCACGACGACGGCAGGCTGTCCTTCCAAGCACCACGTTTCGTTAATGCATGGACGTGCCCATCTACTACACACGCGCGGAGTACATTGAGACGGTGCGTCAGTTCTGTGGCCGTCCTGAATGCTGTTGAGTTCATCCGCTCGTAGGACACTGGGAACAAAGTCTCGCGACGCGCGACCATTGCCGGTCCCCAGAATATCATCCTCGGCGGCAAGACTATTATATCCAGCGGCGCAATTATTCGCGGAGACCTGCGGAGGACAGGCCCTGGCCATGCGGTGGTCATCTCGCTCGGGCGGTATTGTCTCATAGGCGAAGGATGTGTTATGCGGTACGTCCATAAGCCTTCTCCCTCATATCTCGCTACATGATTGCGCGACGTCTAGACCGCCATACAAGACTTACCGCGGCAACTTCAACTACTACCCCATGAAGATCGGCGACCACGTCCACATTGGGGCAAACACGATCGTCGAGGCTGCCACTATCGGGAATCATGTTGAGATAGGGAAGAACTGTGTTATTGTGTGTCCACATCTCTGTGTTGTTAATCGTCGCGCGTCTCAACCATTTTATGCGCTAGGGTAAATTCACCATTATCAAGGACTGCGCGAAGATCGCAGACAATACGATGATTCCACCGAACACTGTCATTCCTGCGTTGTCGTTGTTTGCAGGCTCTCCAGGTGAGCGTCAACGACCCCTGCACACCCTAAGTATGTGTATCAACAAGTCCTCAGGGCGGTTTGTCGAGGATCTTCCGGAATCTACCCAGGAGATGGTCGAAGCGCAGACCAAACAGTACTATACCCGCTTTCAGCCCTTGCCATCTGAACGATAAGCCCTCGACGATGACCTGTTGAACACTCAATCTTGCAATAATCGCACGCCATTGCGAATGCCACTATCGCCTCGCTCTTGGCGTTGTCTACCAGTGAGTGGGCGAAGCCAATGTTCTCTGGACGATTTCAAATATCTAGAAGTTGAACCCTGTGTGATAGCCATTCCGTCGATCGACTTCCTCGCGTATTAGGACACGTTCTGATGTACCTCCTAAGTCATTAGAATCGCAAGAATACCGGTATCGAGGAAGTGTTTAAACGACATGAACTGTTTTGCAAAAAGGAATTGTGTCTACTACTTTTGTGTCAGCCGACATCTAGACAATGACAGAGAACTGACCTTTAGACAAGCACCTACATGAGTCGCATGCTGTCCGTGACCTAAAACCCCAATTCCAGCTGTATCTGTCGTACATTGTGAGCTGAATGCTTCATGATATTGTGGAGCTTAACCTGACCGAATCCACCCGAGTGTTTACTTCCTTGATCACTATTGCAATAAATTTCCTATACTCATCCATGATATTCTGTCTACATTTTCTGCACCTTGCCGACTACCGCTTGAATATGGAGCCGCTGGTCAGGCATAGGAGGAGCTCTGGAAGATCCGGATGTTTGCATGGCATTTCACTCAGTAGGTCCCCCAGTATTCCACTGACAAGCTCCTCATCGATTTGCAACACCTCGTAAGGGTCGCCGCGGCGCGCATTGAAGGGTAGGCATGCAGCACAGAGACGGTATACCGACTGCCTAACCTGATTCTGCCACCAATATTTGTCGAACACCAGCATCATTGCTGCCGCCTTGCACACTTCGGCCCACTGCATGAGCCTCACCATGGCTGTTCCGTGAATGCCATCCAGTTCCGGTGAAGGGGAAACTTCCGCGAGATAGTCGGTAAGGTCGGGAACCATGAGCGCGTGTTGCGCTGCGAGGAGCACTGCCTCCTTCAGGCCGAAGTGATATGCGACAAGGAAGGTCCCAAATGGTTTGAGTTTGATGAGGTCCGGGTCGATAAGGGCATTTTGGCGAGCACAATAGCCGGCTCTATCTCGTATTTGAGCGCGGCCGCGAGAACGGCCTTCACGTCCTTGAGGTCCTTAGGCAGAACCGGATCTTTGACCGAGTAGCAAGTCCTCAGGAGATACTCTATGGTACGAGCATCTTCTTCGAGTCGCACGATAGGCAAGCCGTCCTGGTTATCGGTGGCGGACGCAGAGGGATGAGGCATCGCGATCATCGAACTGAACGCCGGCCAGTGTTGTGCGAGTCGTCGAATGATCGTGCGACTGTCGTTTAGTCGCATGATGTCAGTCGAAACGACTACAAACGACGACGACTGTTCCCACGGCGGCGACTATTCCCACGACCATTCAGTCACACCTGACATTAGAGGCGATGCGGGAATGGAGGGAGATTTGGCCACAAAATAATGTACACAACAGGATGTGATGTTAGCAAGATATGTAAATGAAAATACATGTATATCCTATTGGCAGAGACTCAGCACTCAGTCAATACTATCTTCTGCATTGAAGATGAGAAGTCGAGAAGCTCATACAACTCAACTTCATCCTGCAAATATGTCCAACCCTCTTTTGCATCCTTGCGGTGAAGTCGAATAGATCTCTCAATGACAGA